ACCTCCATAGATATCTCTCTGTCCTTAACGGAAAACAGCAGGTAAAGGGTTATTGATCTCTACACGTTAGGGGATAGCTGTAAAAGAAAAAAGTTGAATCGATATGTAGTTCTTAGTATTAAGAAATGTAAGACTACTGGTATAGTGGCAGCTATATGACAGTTGCATTCCTATCTTATGGATAGATGATATTGAAGGTTTTTGGATACATTTGTTAGCCATGTCCACTGGGAACTGTACCCACTGAGGGGGTCTTTGATGTTTTGGGGTTGTTTTTAATCTTCGGGGGCCTGGAGCCCTAGTAGAGGGAGGAATCGTGAACTTCAACACGAATCAGGACTTTTTGGCCAAACGCATGATTCGTTCTGCCAAGAAGCTCAAGCTTGACTGAAAATGGACATTCCAGCAGGACAGTGATACAAAGCATGCATACAAATTGCTGGTAAAGAACATTTATTTTCGATGCAGCTAACTACTTACAGCAATTCTGCCTGGAGGAATGGAGAGAACTCCCCCTGCAGAAGAGTCTGAATCTCAGAGCACATTGCAGGAAGTATCTCGTCAGTGTAATCCTTGCCACAGGAGGATTTACTCAGCTCTAACTACAGGGGTGTGAATAACTGTGACCCCTGTGGTTTCTGGCCATAAATTAATTGTGATATGTATGACTTGGTTCCATGCTATGCCATAGGAATTACAGTATGCATTCTTTATTTTTCAGCAGGACACGTTATCCGGTCCGTGGACCTGTCTCTCATGTGTTTTTTTTTTCTATTTCATTGGGAGGTATGAGTAAACCTGAAGAGCATTGGAAATGTTCTTCACATCCTTTTCACTGATGCGGCCTGAATGATATCTTCAGCTTTCAGCCTGAAACACAGAATAGAGAGACTAGAAAAGCTGTCTGAACCGCCTGGTTAGAATTTCACACGCGTATGGGTTGTGAGAATACACTGAAGGTCCCGGCTTGCCATATTCTGATCAGTAGTTTTAGGTGGCCTTCCACACCAGTGGCTCCCTTTGGTCTTATGCTAAAACTGCAACTGGTTTGAGTCCGACTGCACGTTTTGAAAACTTAAGAGCATTCAGCAATTGAGTGAGATGTCCAAGCTTTTCCTGACCTGCCTCTGATGTCTCTCTTGGGTATTGCACATACAGCCAGCCTTACTTTAAAAGACACATCCTTCACGCATACTGAAATCTTTTCATGTAAAACAATAGCCTCTTTGTCAAAGCTTTTAAAAACTAAAATGCACAATCTTGCCTCTTACATCCAGTGTTTACAGGTAAATAGAATAACTCAGCATGGACGACATTCACACTCAAGGATTAGATTAATCCATTCCCCAACCTTACGTGAAGGCTCTGTTTACACAAGGTTTTTACATTACTTAGATTTTACGGAAGATGAGAAAGAGAGAGTGTCTTTATTATCCCCGGGGGGGGGGGTAAGTTTTTTTTTTTACAGCAGTAGTGTTGGTGTACAGACAGAAGAAAAACGCCAGGAACAACACTATACGTGCATATTTACATTGAGGGTGAAGTGTTAAATAACAATATGGCTTTGGGTATGAATGAGAACTTGAATCTGTGGGTTTTGGTGCCGGGGAGTCGGTATCTGCGTTCTGATGGGAGTAACTGGAATAACTTAAACAAGGGGTGTGAAGGATCATCACAGATGTATTTTGCTTTACGCTAAGGACGTGAATGATAGATGGAGGAGAGGGCTGAAAGATCAGCGCCAATGACCTTCACAAGGCTGCCCAGTTTGTTCTTGCCTCTCAGATTCAGGTTACCAAACCAGCAGATCAGGGTAAAAGATAGAACATGAAAGGACCCTTTCTTTGCCATTGCATAAACATAACATCACTTTATTAGCCCCGTACCATTTCTTGCATTAGGAATTCGTCTTTTCGCATACCCCAGCTTGCTCTCCATGAGACACACAGACAGGGAGAGAAGCCGGGGGTCAGAGCACAGGGTCAGCCATTTTACAGCGCCCCTGGAGCAGTTGGGGTTAAGGGCCTTGCTCAGGGGCCCAACGGAGTAGGATTCCTCTGCCGGGAGCGGGATTTGAACCGGCAACCTTTCAGCCACAGGCGCAGATCCTTAGCCACAGAGCCACCGCACCGACAAGTACGGAGAAGTGTTGCACTCAATAATGAATTATTGTGCTTTACATTTAATTATCCCGCTCTCCTGTTCAGTTCAGGAATTCATTGTAAAACAAAATACTGGCATGGCTGCAGTGTGGGAGAATGATGATTTCCAGCCAAAGGGCGCGATGATCTGCAGATGAAGTGGCTGTATGCGCGCGAAAATGCAGCGAGACCGGTGTAAAAGAGCCCTGGTGGTGACGCGTTCCTCCAAGCTTGCTCTCATCTAACGCAATCGGTATCTAACGCAAACTCGAGAATGTTGTAATGGAACCCAGGGAGAGTTCATGTATATTGGGTTCAATTTGGTCTTTGGGTAAGTATGGATTAGAAACGCCAATGAAAAAGATTAGCTCAGAAGGAGGAGGTCTGCAGAACCACTTTTACATCCGGTTGGTTTAGCTGCAGCAAGTCCTTGCTGATCCTTATTAGAGAATCCTGTACTGCTTTCAAATGTTTCAGTCTTTTTTATTTTCCAGCCCTATCCTAAAGGATGGCTCTTGAGGAAGATTTTAAAGATTAAAAGTCAGACTAATGGAGAGGAGCCAGATTACTGTTTGTCTAGCTTTGTCTTGAGAGACGAAGTTATGTGGAGGCTGTTAAAATTCTTGTTTTCCTACCAGTGCTGCTGTGTTTTAAAGCTGTAGATGATGTTTTGACATACATTTTTGTTTTGTTAGCCTTTTGTATCAGTTTTACTACATCATAGCCACTGATTTTTTTTTTCTGGTCTTAGCACAGGGCTTTTTACACAACTTTGTAAAGGATGGTGTGAAATATGTTGAATTTGAAATAATGCATAAGCCAGAGAGACATCCCTCTACTGTGTTTTCAAGGTAACACATGGCACATGTGTGGGGAGAGTGCTTATTGTACTTATTCTTATGTTTTTTTTTTTAATCAAACAGATTTGACGCGGATGAAGGTTGCACTGATTTTCTCCTGCTTTTTTCCCGCGCATTTGCTATTTATTTTACTTAATGCTATATTTTTCTATACAGTATATAGCATGTACTAAAGCAGAGGAAAGCTGTATGTATCTGATGAAAACCGGACATATACAGTACATTACATCCCGGCTACGGAGCTCAATAGAAATGATGTAACTGACAGCAAATATTAAGCAGTTATTGACTGTGACTTGGGTACTGTATTATATAATTTCTGCAGTTCACAGGCTAAAGACAGGGTGATACACTTGCAAGGGAGGAATTTAGAGTATTAGTGTCACTGTTAAAAAAATTTGGGGGGCTGTAGGAAGGTGGTGTAGTATCGCATAGAACTGACATCATCGCCGATATGGGCAGTTAGGTACATCTTAAAACAATGCGCAGTGTCTTCTTGTGCAATACTCTATACCGTGTGTAATTAATCACATTGCTTATGCCATCTTTCTGTGGAAGGTTCAGATCTCGATGTCAGAGTTCAGGTGCTGCACTGGCAGCCACAGCCCTGCCCTGAGGGTGACCACCCACAGAAGACATGAGAGGAGAGTTCAGTCTACATGCCCATCAATCACTGGCTTTTTGTCTGACTGCCTGGAGGCTGTCTCCAAAGGCCCACACTTTTCCCTGAAATTTGTGTTCCTCTGAAGTGGGCAGGTATCTTCTGAAGGCTAGATAGCAGTACCAAACAACTCGTGAGGAGGGCAAAGGAGATGCTTTTAAATGTGTAAACTGTGATTCTTAGCCATCACATGTTAGCAGCTCCGTGCTTCGGTACCATAATCATTTGAATAAAAGCCTGGCTTTTAGTGTGAACATTGAGGCAAAAAGGTCTACTTTGAATAATCCGAACATTGATTCTCATCTGACTCTTATATTAGCCAAACATGTTTCAAGATAACAAAATAACTCTTTATCATAGCCAGCAGCTATGCCTGCAACTCACAGCTGGCAGCCCACTGAAGCATAGCAGGTGTGAGCCTGGTCAGTACCTGGATGGGAGACCTCCTGGGAAAACTAAGGTTGCTGCTGGAAGAGGTGTTAGTGGGACCAGCAGGGGGGGCTCACCCTGCAGTCTGTGTGGGTCCTAATGCCCCAGGATAGCAAAGGAGACTCTATACTGTAAAAACCATGCAGTCCTTTGGATGAGACATAAAACGTAGGTTCTGACTCTCTGTGGTCATTAAAAATCCCAGGGCGTTTCTCAAAAAGAGTAGGGGTGTTACCCCAGTGCCCTGGCCAAATTTCCCATTAACCTTAACCAATCATGACCTCCTAATAATCCCAATCTATGAACTGGCTTCATCACATTGCTCCCCTCTCCACTAACAGCTGATGTCTGGTGGGCATAATGTGTGCACTATGGCTGCCATTGCATCATCCAAGTGGATGCTGCGCATAGGTGGTGGTGGAGGGGAGTCCCCATTACCTGTAAAGCACTTCATAAGTGTAAGAATTATTATTTATTAAGTACAAAAATAAGAAAGAGGGCCTTAACAAAAGCCCTTAGGTTTAGTTTAAGTATCAGTCCAGTCCAGGCTCTGCCCTTGGCCAGTTGTGACTGAGCCCTCCCCTGTGCTGACAGAATTGCACTGCCTGCTGGGGGAGGGCTGGATCTGGAGTACAGTCTTCGCAATCGTATTGTGGACTCATTCTCACAGTGCTGGCTGAATTCTTGACTTTTATCACAATACAAGATTTTGTCCTTGCTCTTTCCGGGTACATTAGACGTCACGATTCCCACGAACAGTCAGGGTTGTGTGTTTGTTCTGACTGTGGCAAAGAAGGTCAAGTATCGAGCTGAAGCCCCGATTTTGTGTTATTTTCCAGCTGTGTGTGTTCGGGGCCAGACTGGCGTTCACCAACTGGACGGTGACTGTATTTGGCTTTCCTTTTGCAGTGGGAGGACGGGTAAATCAGGAGCTGAAGTACACACGGCAGAAGATGGGAGAAGAGGCCATGTTCAACCCTCAACTCATGATTCAGACCCCACGGGAAGAAGGTGCTAATGTACTCACGGTTGAAGCACTGAGGCAACACCTGGACTCTGCAATTAAAGCCAGCAGAGTGCATGTTTACATGTACAATAGGTAAGAGGAACAGGTGTCAGGTGTTCTTCCAAACAGGTGACCCAACTGCAAGTTGACGTGACATTTTCAGATAGTTGTCAGATTATTGCTGTGGGTTATAAGAACACGAGAAAGGGGACAAACGAGAGATGACTTTTCGGACCTTCTGGTCCATTTGTAGTTAATCCAAAGGTCTCATCCAGCAGTTTCATGTACGGAGCCAGGATACCGGCTTCAACATCAAGGCTGGGTAGCTAGACCCCCACAGTCCTTTGGCTTGTCTCCCCTCTTGTTTGTGTTTCAGTTGGTTCTGAAGAACTATGCTGGGTAAATGCACTGGGTCACTGCACTAAGTTTTTAAAAATGCTGTTAGAGTTCTGTCACGCAATGAGATTTTAAAAAAAATGCCAGCTTGGCAATTTTTTATTTTACGCATGAAAAAGTCATTTTAGTTTACGCATGAAGCAAATATGATTTGCCTTTTCTCTTTCCAAAAGTCAACCTGCCACCTTGTTTTTCATGTGCTTTAACTGTTGCACAATTAAAAAGATAAATGCTGAAAATATACTATGTCATTACCGTAAGGGAACTCATATTTAATTAGTATTTTTCGGTCTGTGCATGAAGTTTAAATGATCCAATTGCAGTGTAATTGTATTAATTTTTTGGTAGTGCTTTACTTGAAAGAGGCAAAAACACCATCATAACCCCTTAGTAAACACCATACATGATAATAACATGCATTAAAATCATATTTCTGCATCTGGAGAAAGTCCTTGATGGTGTCTTCCATCATTTTAACTGGACAATTCTATACCTGAAGTTCTGCTCTTGTCTTTTGCAAGAATGTCTCATTTTGAACCGGTCTGAATTATTTCCCCATTTTGCACAATTGGTTGTGAAGGATTATGGAATGTTACATTGTGTTGTGTTGGTGACTCCTCATTCACGTAAAGTGTTACCTTTTTTTCTTGCTGGCTGTAAAATCTTGTCCATGTTTGTAGGCAATGGAAATTGGAACATCTGTGTTATAAATCAGGAGAACTTATCACTGAAGCTGCGCCCATGAATCAGGTATGCAGAATTCAGTTTATCCTACAGTAGCAATTTTGTTCTAAAGATGTTTTAACAGCAGAAATGCAACTAATTTGTTTGAATTTTATCTCTTTAGATTATTGAAAACCTCTATCCTTGTTTAATAATCACGCCGTTGGATTGCTTCTGGGAAGGTGCAAAACTACAGTCAGGAGTGGCCTATCTGCCGTAAGAACACTTTTAAATCTCTTATTCCCTTGCAGAAAATGCACAAAGACTTTTGCTCTGAAAAGCCAGTGGTACAGCTTTTCTAATACAGAACAAAAACAAAAGCTTGTGCTCATGCAAAGCAAAGAGAATGTTAGTTACAGAAGCCTGAATGGAGGTTTTGTTCACCCTAGAAAAAATGGTGCTTTAGAAAAATGTATATCTTTGTCATTTATTAATAATCTTATTTTAGTAGTTTTTTTTGCTAAATGTTTTATTATAACATTTAAAACCAATTAAACCCATTTTAAATAGATGAGTGGCAGAGAATTGCACTTTTTTGTTACTAATTGATCTGAAACCATATAACTTAATCATATGCGGCTGAATAGTTTTATTTAGAGAGCATTGAAAGTGCTTGGCAAACTCTGGGCTTGCCATTCGAATGGCTTTGTACTGTAGAGCAAGGACACGCCCTGTAGCACTGCGGCAGTGGAGACTACAGCTTGAAAAAAAATCTGAGAATAGGTCTTGGGATTTTTCCTCACCTTCTTTTCTTTGACGTAGAACTGTCGCACAGTTTTCTTTCCCGGCTTATCGGATTATACTGCCCCAGAATTCTTGAAAACAAAAGAGGGGAATATCTTTTGAGTGCAAATATGTTGTAACTGAGACCCGCCTTGGCGCAGTGTCTTTCATTTTCTGCAGTGAACTCACACGACATAAAAAAACGTTGATTCTGTCATTAGACCCAAAATGTTTAGAAAATATTCTTGAATGTGGTGGACACCTTTTGAATAAGCAAACAAATTAAGTTCCTTGCCTAAGCAAGCATACTGAAAGAGATATTTTTCACATTATCAGTGGATATGGAAGTGCACTGTATAGTAGATGTAATTGTGCAGGTGACGTTTGAGGAAGGATGAATTGTATGCATTTTGAAGTCTACTTTCTTACACTTTTCTTAATTGACTAGTAGACTGAATCTGCCTTTATTCCTTCCAATGGTTTGTCATTATGCCTTCAAGCTCCCTGCACCCCCCCAGAAGACTTCATTGTTGTGATAGCTGGCAGATGCAAACATTTGAGTTAATTATGCACAAGTCAGGGTTCGGGCTTTTGTTTTCCTCGCAGTTTGTATGCCTTTGCAACAGTAATTTGCACTGGCCATCATGGATCGCACTGGGAGCAGTTTTAGATGGTAAATAAGGATTTTGTGTTTTCTGGTTGGGAGACTTGGAATAATGACTCAAGCCTGGTTAAGCAGATACAATGTGGTTTGAACCACAAAGTAAGCCAGCCAAAAGCCTCTCTGGCCTGTCGGCAGCAGGGGAAGACTGCGAGAGGAGGGGTGGGAGAGGTGGTGGTGGGGAAGGTTGTTGGTTGATTGCCAAGTTGTCAGAGAGGATGAAGGGGGAAAGGTATTATTAGAGGGAATAAAGGTCAGCTGTTTTGATTGATTTAATTTGCAAAACAGTTATTACGCAGACAGTCTGTAATCCGATGCTAAGATTTTTTTTCCAGCCATCTTCCTGATTGGTGGCCGAGCCATTGAGCGCATAAAAAGGAAAAATAAATATTCGCAGAAATCCTTCCCGGTTTCAGAATCTTTGTGGTTGTTCCTAAGACCGTATATTTTCTTAAGACTTCGCAAAGCAGGTGTTATCTGGCAATATCGGGGCAAGACAAACGTGAGGAGAAATCTGAAGGGGAGTTTAATTTTGTAACTGTGAAGTGCAAAGCATGAAGTGTGTTCTTATAGTATTTTAGGTGCAGTTTTTTGTATGCTTTGTGTTGTAGGTATTTTGCTCCTTTTCTCAACAGAGGTAAACCCCCTGTGCAGTGGACCAACTTTGATCCAATGGAGTTCTTGGAGGAGCTAAAAGCCTTCAGTTACCAAGTGGACAGCTGGGAGGAGATGCTGATGAAGGCGGAGGTTGGCCACGGCTATATGGACCGCCCCTGCCTTAATCCTGCAGACCCCGACTGCCCTGTCACAGCACCCAACAAGAACACCACTCGAGTACGTGTTTATCCCAGCCCTGCTGGGTGCCATTACAGAATAACACTTTCCGTTTTACAGACAAGGAAAAACTTGAGATGTTTTAAGTATCTCTAAAGATATTTTCATACATTTTTCTCAGCGCAAACTAATTATGAAGCTTGGCACATTCCTTCCATAAAGAGTCACAGTGCCTGGGTCATTGCATGTTCTTGCTCTGTTGTGGCTCATTTCACCTTCCTGTTAAATAGTGTGGTCGGTTTGTTTGTGAGCTGCAATCAGCCACACAGAACATCGGTGAGACAAGGTGAAGTTCAGCACAAATCAGCAGGAGGACTCCTGCTGCTTTTCACCCTCGCCCACCTGGACCACAAGAGAAGATCATTTCTGAGGACGTTCCTCTGTCATTAAGAGTTGCTTGATCTGGGTTGTACCCTTTAGGAGAAAGAAAGGAGGAAACTAAAGAAGACGTATAATTGTGTTATGAAAAATGTTATTTTCTATGACTTCATGGTGTACTACCACATATAATTGGTTGTATGCCATGTAGGTGTAACCCTGCTATTAGATGCCTCATTACCACTTCAGGATTTGAGTTTAAATTTGATACTTCTCCAGATCATGTGTTCTGGACCAGTTTCACAAGCTGTCTGTGACACTAAGCATGTAGTTCTAGCAGTTTTCATGCCATCTGTGCTGCTGTGCAGTCTGCAAAAAGGTTTTTCCTTTTTAGCTTTATATACGATATTGACCAAAGATGTAAAAATAGGAATTCAGATGACTAAAGAATTGAGATTCCCTAAGTGGACGGGCATAGCTTCGCCCAGTTTCTGGTGAACCAATGACCCATGTACTGTAGCTTCCTGGGCATTGAGGGACACAAGTGTCCTCTAGTCAGTCCTGACCCTCCTGTGCATTGATGCAGAGCTTGTAGCATGTCAAATGATGAATAGCCCGATGGGTGGGAGTGTCAGAGGAGCCTGTCTGAGCTCCCTCTTTCTCCCCATGACGGTACAGACCTATTTCCTGTAAGCCAAGCTGTCCAGAGACAATTGACAATGCACGACTGGGTAGGTGCATCATAAAAAAACAGACCCATTCTAAATTTCTCAAAAGGAAATGACACCGCTTCAATTCGTAAATGTCAGAAGTGTTGCTGGTCTGCATTTTCTGTTTGGGTCAGTTAAAACAAAAAGAGAAAATGCACACAACCCCGCCCTGTACAGCACGCACAGGGTGTCGCCTCTTTCCTTTCTCAGAATGCTCATGGTATTTTGCAGCCTTATGATGTTGCCCGCGCTCTGAAAGGTGGTTGTCACGGCCTTTCCAAAAAATACATGCACTGGCAGGAGGAGCTGATCGTTGGGGGAACAACAAAGAACGGGAGTGGGAGGCTTCTGAGGTAAGTATCCAAGCCCCCAGTCAATGAGGCAGCTCGTTGAAAGCCTGTATAACTTATGATAATGGTTGTTTATGTTGGTCCAAACAGGTTACATAGGCTTAAGCGTCATAAATCTTCAGACCATAACAAGGATCCAGTGAAACCTTAGAACACCAGCTGTTCCTCCTTGAAGTCATTAATAACGCAAATTGTAATGTCTAAGCCTGAACAAGTGGCGACTTCGGTGCAGTGAAACACACACTGCCATGTCCGTTTACAGGGCTATGAAGTCTACTGAAATAATAATTAAAATACCTTTTCACTGAGAGAAACTGTTGCGATTGGAACAACCAAGTGTAAATTTAGGACATTTGAATTTTTCTCCCCCTACCAATGTGATTCTATATTGATAAATTTTGGGTTTTACACTAGGGAGTTTCTTCAAATTCAGTGTGCAGGTTTCCCAGATGTGAATCTGTTCTTCATTGGAGCACCTCTTTTTGTAGTCCACTTGCTTAAATGTGGTGTTATAAGGAGGATAAATCAATGTTTGTATTCAATCACATTAGGTGTTTTTAAAACATCTTTATTTTTCACTGGATGTGTAAAAACTAGAATTTTCTGCAGTCCCATTAGTAGTCATAGTTATTAGTACTGCATGTGATTTAAAGCTGTTTACCTTCCACGCCTCTGTAAGTTAGGCCATGTTTCCAGAACTTTCCTGCTTTTATCTTATGTAGTATATGTTTGAATACTTTGAATTAATTAGGACGTGTTTTTTCAGTCTAATTTTAATGTAGTAGGTCTACTGGGTGTGACCTTTTTATGAGACCAGAAAGCTGTAGTATGAGGCCACAAGCATTTTTTTAGAAAAATGTTTAATTTTCACTTGAAGTTTCTTGATGTAATTTACAGTAACTATTTTAGCGGTGCCTAAATGTGAGGCTTGAGTGTGTTTGAGAAACAACAGAAGGGAAATTTGTTTTTCAGCGAATACCTTTCTCCGTGGAGTCATTTACTTTTGTTTATAAAAGATCTCCTTTGCTTCTTATTTCCCCTTCATCTGAGACTCCACACTCTGAAAATCTCTTCCTGCCTGGTGTTTACTTTGCCCATCCCCCTCTCCCCCTGTGTCTCAGTGCCCAGGCTCTCCAGACCATGTTTCAGTTAATGACCCCCAAGCAAATGTATGAACACTTCAAGGATTATGAACATGTTTCACATATCAACTGGAATGAGGACAAGGCCGCCGCCATCCTGGAGGCCTGGCAGAGGAGATACTCTGAGGTAAAGCTCCTTGCAGGTCACTCTCATGTATACATACACACAAACACATGAGAATGAAAGATTTGTCAACTCTGTAAGCAACAAAGTTCAATCTATCCGAATCACATTCTGTGTGTAGTTCAGTTTAAACCTCAGTGTTTTAAAGCTCTTTAACAAGTCTAAAAACAGATTCCACAAAGGAAGGTGGTAATGACCGAGTACCAAAGTGAATCGATTTATTTCACCCAGTGGTGTAGTTTGTGGTCTCTGTTTTTGAAGGCTGATTTTTTTTTTTCGCCCACCCCTTGGCTCAAGGCGCGGAGATCTTCAGTCCAGGTGTGCATTGGTGCACCTGCTTATTGATCTTCCACTGAGAAAGTGGGGAACCAGCATAAGGTTTAACACCTGACCAGTCACAGTGCCTGAGCTGCTTTTGAAGTGCCCTAATGGCTGTTCCAGTAGTTTGCAAATTGTTATTACTTGACATATCCGTGAATTATACACTGAAAATCAGTATCGGCTGAAGGAATCTGGTGTATGTTTCCAGTAATGTTTCTACTGCTTTAATAATAGTAATAATAATTGCTTACACTTATATAGCGCTTTTCTGGACACTCCACTCAAAACGCTTTACAGGTAATGGGGACACCCCTCCACCACCACCAATGTGCAGCCCCACCTGGATGATGCGACGGCAGCCATAGTGCGCCAGAACGCTCGCCACACACCAGCTATTAGTGGGGAGGAGAGCAGAGTAATGAAGCCAATTCAGAGACAGGGATTATAAGGAGGCCATGATTGATAAGGGCCAATGGGAAATTTTGGCCAGGACGCCCGGGTTACACCCCTACTCTTTACGAGAAACGCCCTGGGATTTTTAATGACCACAGTCAGGACCTCAGTTTTACGTCTCATCCGAAGGAGGGCGCCTGTGAGTTGCAGGGTGATATGGCTGCTGGCGATGGCTACTGCTTTAGATTCATTTCGTGAGAAATTAAGCAGATTGTGCTATTGCTTCTACACAATTAAGCATTTGTGTAGCAGTAATCATTTTTTCATCTCATAATGGTCTTTTGTCCACTACTATTTGGGCGGGGCGGTGGCTCTGTGGCTAAGGATCTGCGCCTGTGACTGGAAGGTTGCCGGTTCAAATCCCGCGGCCGGCAGAGGAATCCTACTCCGTTGGGCCCCTGAGCAAGGCCCTTAACCCTAACTGCTCCAGGGGCGCCGTACAGTGGCAGACCCTGCACTCTGACCCCAAGCTTTTCTCCCTGTTTGTGTGTCTGTGTCTCCATGGAGAAAAGCTGGGGTATGCAAAAAGACGCATTCTTAATGCAAGAAATTGTATAGGGCTAATAAAGAAACATTATTATTATTATTATGTTTTTATCAGTTGATCTGCTTTAAAGTGTAGCTGTACAAAAAACTTTTGAATTATAGTAGCGGCATCTACCAATCGTAGAGTGCCACATCAATTCTGACTGCAATTATATCCCACGCATTGGTTACACCCTGAGATGGCCCTTAGAGTTATAGCCCGTCCAAATTGAAACAGAACATTTTAAGAATTTGAGGGTGTTAAGAGATTTTTCCTAACAAAAGTTACCTTGGAAAATTCACAAAAATAACTTCCAGTTCCTCCATGTTTCTGGCATTTGTATGTCATGGATTACCTTTTCCATGGTTTCCACCTTCTGTCATGATTTTCTGTACTCATTCGATGATTCCCATGTGTTTTGCTATACTTTGTTTGTACCGTGGGATTACCACGGTCAGTTAAGTAGATGTGATTTGGTGTTCTAAGCAGAACCTAGTATCTGGTGCAAGTCTACCAGTTTTCACTTAACATGTGGCTCAAACAAGGCTCCAATGTCTGATGTATAAATATTCTTGAATCTGCGAGTGAACACAGCAGTGTCCTGAGGTCCAGTGTGTACCTTACAGGGCTCTAGGGATGGTGAAGGAAGGCAACTTAAAGAAACCCATTCAACCAAGCTTTTTTATGTATATTGTCCTGTCATATGTATATTGCTCTCCAGCTAGAGCGATCCCCTAATGCCGTGCATGTTTTTTCTTTTCTTTAAATTGAGTGCTGGCAATAAAATCCCACGCAATGTTGAGAAAACCATATATTTTATAGTCTGTGATAGAAAGGATGCCTGCCGGTCAAATGGCCAATTTAGCCGCCACATGTAGCTCCCCCCCCAGCTAAGTGCGCTTCTGTCTTCTTCCATGTGCAAATTTCGGGAGTTACTAAGAAAAGGCCTTTTCTGTCCCAGGAACCTGCTGTTTAAAAGATGCACCTGAAAGAAATGATTTTTTTTTCTTGGCCGTGAAAGCCAGTTGTTTTTACAGCCAAGCCAGCGCACTTAATTTTTCTGAGTGCGAGTAATTAGCGGTTTCTTAAAGTCTTTAAGCGCTCTGTAAGCGGGGACATACAGAGGCTGAGAGGGGAGCAGCGAACAGCGGTGCAGCAGTCCGCTGGTAACTCAGTAAGAAGAGGTGTCTGGAAAGCATTAGCGAGGCGTTGAATCTCTTTCCCAGCTGCAGTCCCATTGGTGGATCTGTGTGACATCATCTGGTCTTTGTTTTCAAGACAGTGACCTTTGCAGAGCTCCATCTGACCTCATGAGCCCGCGAGAGGGGAAAAAGACATCTCTGTACAGAATGTTTGCCTGTAGTGCAGGGGGCCCAGCTTTAAAATAAAAAAAGGTGGAAGAAAGCATCATCCCGGGCTTTATTAGAGGAAAGTGCGGGAGAGAGACATGAAAGACCTCAGTCTCCTTGAATTTCATGAAACAAAATAAATGAGCTCTTGGTAAATATTCATTAAAACCTTCCAATCTCCCCAGTTATTCCCTAGTTAATACTTTTTATTATTATTATTATTTTATGACATCCATCTTGCCGGCATCTCCAGACATAGTCTGACACAGCTGTTCATGTCTTTCTTGCTGCAGGTTTTACTTTGCCGATTTCTGATATAATTGTACTAGACTGTTCAAATAGTGGTCCATAAACGGATATGCTTGTAGTTTTTTAATGTCGTTTTTTTAATGTAAAAGGCATTTTCAGAAACTGTTATTCTAGGTGTGTTCCCTTAAGGCTATGAATGACTTTTTGGGTTTTAATTTTTGACTTGAGTTTTTTCTTCCTTCACAATTTGCAGGCTGTCCAACAGAGTGTGGCACAAAACTCCACTCAGAAGGTGCTTTCATTCACGACTACTACATTGGAAGACATCCTCAAGTCATTCTCTGATGTTAGCGTAATCCGTGTGGCAAGCGGCTACCTATTAATGGTGAGATGAGTTAAATGTCGCAGAGAGTGTGACTTCAGCCTCTTCGCCTTTGATTTCTTCTGCCAAACTACTGGCACTAACGTGTTACAGCCTAAAACCATTAGGAGAATAAAACCATGGCATGCCTTCTATAGTGAATATTAATTACAAGCACAGATCTACTACATTGTGTGCTTGGTGTTTTTAAGAAAGACCTTTTTTTAGCACCAAGAGTTTTATGGACTGCCAAAACTTCAAGATAACTCTAGTTATGTAAAAGGTATTGGAAAGGACGGTGTACTAATGTTTGACTCCTTGTATTTATTGTTGTCTCTCTTGTTCTGCTTGCAGCTTGCCTATGCCTGTTTAACCATGCTGCGGTGGGACTGCGCCAAGTCCCAGGGGGCCGTGGGGTTGGCAGGAGTCTTGCTGGTTGCACTGTCAGTGGCTGCAGGATTGGGCCTGTGCTCTTTGATAGGAATTTCATTTAACGCTGCAACAACTCAGGTACAGCCAAGTCGACAATCTGCCTTTGGTGTAACTCAACATACAAATAACTGAATATATAGGAGTGTAGGTGGGTTATAATTAATTGTGATAGTGTTGTTCAGTAAACTGGCTTTTCAATATTGCTTCTATGTAGACCCGGAATAGCAGACAAAATGTGCTACCAAACAAAAAAATGGCATTATATAGTTGTCCTCTTAACATCCATCACCCCTACTGCTAAGTTCAGTTTAGAATCCGAAGTATTAAAAAGGAATTCATTTGAGACGATCACTTTTTGGAACAGATCTGTATGACTACCCTCAGTTCCATTCCATGTCTCCATCCTGTTGGAGAGCTTTTATTCTTGCTCGTTTAAACCTGGAAAAAAGAACATTTGCAAGCTCGTTTGCGTGGTATCGCCTGCGGTCGATGGGTGAGCAGGAATCTTCCTTTGTCTTCTCTACAGGTTTTGCCCTTTCTTGCTCTAGGAGTTGGAGTGGACGATGTCTTCCTACTGGCACATGCATTCAGTGAAACAGGACAGAATAAAAGAATTCCTTTTGAGGTAAGGGATGCATTGCAACATGTTTTCTAGCAACAAAAACTGCTACATTATGTGCTTGTTGACAGCTAATCTTTTGGTCTAATAAAAATTCCTTATAATGACCCAGAGGAAAAAAATCAATTAAAAATATTTCAAAAACAACCATTTAAATGCTATATTTATCAATAAAGCTGGGTGTGGCTTGTTTGCATTTAAAAATCTCCGATTTAGATTTATTCATCTTTCTTATCCGAAATACATTTTATGTTTGTTATTGGATTCATGCTATTAATTTAAATAGGCTTCATTCAATACCGAGAGAACTGAAATGAATAAAATATGAAAAGGCGAGCCTTTACTCAGGTGTGGTGAAAGTGGGAGTTAAATTGTGGGGCATTTTAACTCCTGACCTTCAGTATGCCAGCACAATCATGCCTCCTTTCCTGTCCTCCTGCATTCTGTAACATAACAGATGAAGACAAGGAAATCTTTCCAGGAATGTTGACATGTGTGATACTCCTCTGTGCTTACAACCCTCCTATCATAACATCTTTTTATAATACTACTGGGGACGTCTGTTGTGTGGAAGACATTTTTGCATACAGATTCAAGTGATTGTGACCAGCCACCCCGATTTTCACCATATGCTATGGACTCCAGCTGTGTTTTAGCACTATGAAACATGTTTCAATTCATTTTTTCAGGGGAGAGCAGAGTCAGCGACATGTTTTTGCGCGTTTTGTTTTTGTCAGACAGAATCGACATTCCGCCTTTCAACTGCTTTGTCTTACTGTAGCCTTCGTGTGGTTGAAATCAAAAGTAAACAGTTCCTTTTGGAAGGAAAACCTGATCTCTCCTGTTTGTGAACAAAGGACGAATCTTGGTGTGTGGTCCCTCCTTTTTTTTATTGCCAATTTCTCGATGAGGAAGGAAAAAGACAGGGGTGGATGGGAAAGGGCTTCTTAAAGTGCTTCTAGTCATGCAGATTTGCTGTCTGCTGGGCTTTAAGGATAAAGCAGTAAGAAAGAGGGCTTATCCTAAGAAGCCAACAGAGGGGAAATTATGTGATTTAAGTAGTGCTGTTAGAAACGGAACAAAAATTGTGTTTTTCCTTTCAAGAAAACCACGCAACATATTTGGTGGGCATCCAATGAGACACTCGTGACTTGTAATTCTGGTTTCTTATTATTAAAACTCACATGCCGAGAGGATGTAATTAGTAAGGTCTCTCAAGTAAGAGTCATTTTCATTAAATCATTACATTTAATGAAATGTATTAATATATTGTCACTTTTAAGCTTTTATGCACATTCATTTACCCACTATACAAACAGTCAAAGCATGGGAAACCAGCAAGACATTTTTAAAGGGCTGAAAACTAAACCTCTCTGGATCTTTTTTTGTTTTTCTTACTTGTTTAAGCCAAGGAGAGTCTCTTATTTCACCCCCAGCCAGAGCCGATCCAGATGAGTTTTTCCTCCTAACCATTGCTTGGTAATGGTAATCTTAGATCTGAAATTGCTTTGCTGTATCACAAGAAATGTAGGTCATTTAGGAGTTGCTCGTGGGTAATGTTTGTCATTGGTGAGATCACACAAATAGTTTAATGCTTTTAAATGTCCAAATCAAGTGTTAGGCCAAAGTAATAAAATGTCAATAGTAAGAGTGGGTTTTGCTAAGAACATCTTTTTAGATGACAAAAAAAGACAGTGGGCCGGTTTACTAAGGTGTGAATATCAAGTTGCTATCAGGGTGTGACGTAGATTTAAGAATGGCAAATGATTACATTTAACATAATGTGGCAAGACGGCGTTCTTAATATTTCTACCAAATGACTGGATGAGCTAAATGCCTTACTTTATGTTTGTACTGTATGTGTTCTTATGTTCTAGCATATGTTACATGAATGAGCTTGTAACCCGGTAACTTTTCATCCTTCTAGGACCGAACGGGAGAATGTTTGAAGAGAACAGGGGCTAGTGTGGCTCTGACCTCGATCAGCAATGTGACAGCTTTTTTCATGGCTGCCTTGATCCCTATTCCTGCTCTCCGGGCATTCTCGCTCCAGGTAAATCACGGCGTTTCTTGTGAGCTCTCTCTCTCTCACTCACTTTTGTCCCATTGTTATTCATTGTTGAATTCATGCGAGCGTTTTCCTAAGGGAGAGAAAAGGCTTTTTTAAAAATCTCGTTACCAGCAGGTTGTCTTTCTGTAGTTGATTGTGCTCCTAGTCCACGCAAGTCTGTGATTCTACCCCTTCCTTACAGGTGGTGTGGGTAAGTGGGCAGGTCTCTGGGCTGTTAGAGAGGGGCTACCTTGGCATGTTCTGTATCTGCGAATAATTTCCTCTATGCCTGCATGAGATCGCCAAAAGGAGGCACAAGTTTGCCTTTCAGGAGCATTGTGCTTTCTGTAGCCGAATCGAAATCGGGCAGAGAATGAGTGGCAGTGCTGCAGAAAGAAGCTGTCGAAATGCTGAGCGAGTGCCGCCTACCTCGGAGTAAATGATTTTAGGTTGGAAGAAAGCGCATTGCCAAAGGCAACTTAGTCATCCTTCATTAGCTCATTGTGGTTAATTCTAGCCACTGCTACAGTGGGTTGTTCATACTTACAAGAATGCCAAATAAACTGATTTCGGTAATCTTTTGGATAAGGGTTGTGTAAGATATTTGAGGATACAGGGTATGTTTTCACCTGAAGTGAAACAGTTGAGTGCGGAGGATTACTCAAATAACAGGGTTCTGTCCGTATCTAATCAGGTGTGTGTTTTGATGGGAATTCTATTGCGTTTTTTGTGGGTTGGCTTCGCCAGAACAGTTTATGAGATCGGTAGCTTTTCAGTTTGCAAATCTAACAAGGAGAAAGTGGTTGTTCATGATTACTTCTTGGAGAATAAGGGAAATATAAATTAATGTGAGTTTAATATCCATAATGCATGCTTGCTTTACTTTCAAGTACTGAATAAGACATCGACTGCACCTGGACTTTCTTTATGAAAGCAACTTCATATTTATATCACAATTGTAAATGTTGTCTAAACTTTGGAATTCTTTGCCATCATTTGGTCTAGATAAATTTAAAGTGTGATTATCCCTGTTGTATTTAGTTAATTTTGGGGTTTTGTCTTGAAACAGGTCACACTTATTCATCCCTATACTGTAGTTTATTTTAGTTTTCTATTGTTTATATCCCTTTTTTGTTGTTTCTTGAGCCTGTCTGTTGATCCCACTATGCGTGTACAGACATGCCATAATAAAATGTGCAACCTTATGAGATGTGAAGTTAGTTGTGTGGCATTTTCTTTTAATTGTGCAGCTCAGCAACATACTGTATATATAACAAGATTTATATTCAGACATTGAAGTTAAAAGTTAGAATATCCCATACCATACCTTCTTGTTGAACAGCTTAATGTGCTAGCTGCTTGTTTGCAGCACTCCTGGGTAGGAACATGTTGACGGCATACTAATTCAGCTAACCAATGTATTCTGTTTCAAGTTGCCTTATCATTGTCTTGAATGAAAGCCTGTGAAAAGAAAGTGAGACGTGATACCATCAGAGGATTAAGTCTGAGCAGACCGCTGAATGGAGATTTCGTAACTATGACAGGCAGTTAGTAGTGACTGTGTGCTATGGGGGAGATCAAGGGAGGATCTTTTTTCCTTTTGATATTTGCTCGCTGGGGGCATAAGCACCTCAGCTCTAACGCGGAGAATTTATGAGGTCAGCTGCCCTTGGTTCAGCACAGATAAACCAAACAACTTCAGCAGAATCGTCTTGCTTTTTGCTAACCTGCGTCTCAACTAATTTTTCATGCTGCTTGACCTCTGACCTCTCCAGAGGAAGTGGAGGCAGTAGTTTGTCTTGATAATTTTGACCATTTTCAGAGCCTTGCTATCTAAAGAGGGCAGGCAGTTTTGAATGACTGCCTGTCCGCATTGGCCTGAGAGACCGAAACAATCAAATTAAATAATGGTGTTTACCTGAAGCTTAGGGGTCAAGAAATAAACCCAAATCTTTCGCTGAACGATTCAGATTTTTTGTAACCTGGGTGGTAAGTGTCACCTTGAGCAGAAGTAGAACTCCGCTGTTCAACCTGAGACTCTTACTAGAGGAAAAAGCTTGGTCTTGACAAGTCGAGCTCAAAAGCCGCAACTTTCTAAACTTTTTTTGGCTATGGAATCATGAGTGCGTGACCAGTTTATTTCTCTAAAAAGCGAATCCTCAATTCTTTAAATCTTTATGCTTTCTTAAACCGAAGGGTGCGATGAGACTGAAGTCTGCCCTGTTGATAGTGTGCTCCCGGCAAATAAAATTCCCATATAGGTGAGGAAACATGTTAAGCAAAGCACAACAACGATGTGTTGACGGATGTCACTGAACAGAGAAATGTGAAATAAAACCCTTGTTTACCTGTTGTGCTTGATCCAGCTGGCAGCTTTTCAGAAGCCAGAGATCACAGGCTGTGTGCCCGATGGGAGAGGCTTCTATCGGTTCCTTTACCCCGTCTGTGTAATTGTGCGGAAAGCAAAGTTTGCGTATAAGCAAACAAGCGGCAAAATCATATTTGCAATATTTCTTTTTTTTGTGAGGAGGGCATAAAAGGATGTGGCATTCTAATTCTCAGACAAATTGGCCCCTCGTTCCTTCTGCGGGCCCAGCGGTGAGCTGCTGTGGATTGGAGAGGCAGTGGGCTGTGACCCCTCTGCCCTGAGAGAGTGGGAGATCGGCTGTGGGACCTCGGTATCTGTAGAGCAGTCCAGCTGCCGAAGGAGAATGAATGGCTTCCTGATTAACCCATATAAGCGCAAGGCCCGCTCCTACTCTTGCATGCCAGCGCTTTGCTCTTTGCTGAACCTCTGGGATTCTGCTCCAGATGCCACACAGAGCTTTCCACTCCGGAATTGTTCATCACATAAAGAAATCAAAGATAAGATTGGCTTACTGCACCAGGAAGGGGTGTTTTTCTGGAGGGGGAGCTCCATGTTTTCGCATGGTTAGTTCAGGACTTGTTCTATGGCCATATCAGTGGTTTATTCTTATGTGAATTCCGCATCTTGGTCTGTTATCTGAGCTTCTTTTCATTTAAGTTCATTTTAAAGCTGTCGTTAGTAGTTCAAGGATGATATTCATTGATTTTTAGAGCCAGGTGAACAGGTTAAATCAGAACTGGTACGTTAAAAAAAAACAGGATGACTCCTTTTCCATGTCTCTTTCTTCAAAGAGTGACTTTTCTCGGAGTTAAAAGCTTTTCACTTGTCGTCGTCGAAAGAGATTGGCGTTTAATTTCAGAAAGTATTTGAACGCAGGAAAACGTCTTTCAAGTCCAAAAATGTAAATGACTAGCCTCACTGTATCTTTCATCTTATTTGTCTGGAAAACAAAAATTAGCAGAGCTGTGTGGTGCTGACTTGATAAGGATTTAAATAACACCTTCTGTTTTATTAGCTGAAATGGAGGGTTAGGGATATACACAGCTGTTCAGCTAAGCATGTATTTTGTTTCCCCAAGATCAAAGGGGGGTTAGTTTGTAAATTAACAGAAAGCCTTTATTGCAACTTAAAAAAAGCAGTGACTGTAAAGGGCAGAAACACAAAATGCGTTATGATTCACAGTAAATCAAAATCTCACTGTTGGCTAATGAAGGATTTGGAACATCGGGTCATAATATCCTGCGGAATGTGAGAAGCAAGAACACCCACCTGTGTGAGCGAGAGGTCGGTATCGTTTTTCACCAGCGTGTTGTTCAAAAGACTTCAAACTCCTACCGCTCACACATTTTGGATTTTTCAGAGCAACGCTGTGCCGTTTTTTTTAATTCGGTCTTTTAAGGTGGACGTGAACAGATTTCAGGGTTTTGTATTTTTCTGTTTGTTTTATTTTGCCCAATCCCCCCCCCACCCCACCCCCCTCTTTTCTCCAAAGCAAACTAGTTAGAACAGCCTCCCTCTCCAAGAAGAAAAAAACCCTTTGCATAGTTGCGGCCTATTGAATAGCACTGAATAGTCTCACCCCCTTTCCCCACCATCCAATTGCTTAACCCGCTCAGACCTTTCTCCCGATCCGCTTCTGGAGCGGTCGGATGGGGAGGCTGTGGTGGGGAGAAGGAGAGGAAGTCGTAGACGAGGGAGAGAGGAAAGGCGGCAGCAGCTCGAGTGGTTAGGGGAAGCTTCCCCCCCAGCGCTTGAGGAGCAGCAGCACCAAAGCACCAACAACAAAGTGAAAGGAGACGCCAGAAGAGCGAAGTGTCTGGCAGAGGGCAGCTGCAGGCTGGCAGGAGGAAGGTGGGAACCGTGTCTGACAGACTTCATCATCTGCTCATCACCTCCAGGCCCTGCAGCACACCCGCTCTCTGGGTGGTCTGGCAGCCGAGGATGCAGTCTGTACCCTGGGCTAGGCCCCAGCCTACCCGGCCTGCTGCCTTCTCCCACAGCGCCTCCAGCCCTTTTCTTTTTTTTTTTTCTTTCCCTCCTTTCTCTCTCCCTTTTTTTTTTAACCGCAGCAAATCTGAAAGGAGCAGGATTACTGCTGCTTTATGGATTTCTTTTGTATTCCTTTGTAATGATCGATTCCTGGAGAAAAATAGAGTTACATAAACCGAACCAATAAATCTCTCTCTGGACTCGGGGACCAGCAGAGGCAGAACTGAATTTTTTTTCCTTTGTTTTTTTTTTTTTAGCTTTTGTTTGCTTTTTTTGACCCAGATATTGTTGAATATATGTCTGAGAAAAATCAGATAAATTTCACTGATTTATGGAACAGAGGGTGTGTGTGTGTGTGTATGGGGGGTGTTTTATGGTTTTGGTCCTCTGTTTCACTAAATTTGATGCAGTTCTATTTTGTTTGGGACAGATTGTTCCCAGGCTGTCATCATTCTGTCTACTTTGTCTTGAACACAGGAAAGTTAAATAGACCTCCCCCCCTTCTCTTCCTCCCCCCGTAATCAGTTTCCACTATTCTGTAATAAAAAACGTTTGTAACGTGGCCAGCCATTTACAGTATTACAGCCACAACTCTTATAAATGATCGTAGCAGTACCCTAATTTTCCAGGATTGCAATCCTAGTTTTCAAATGTAGCTTGCAGAAAGAAACTCGTAAAGGATGCAGTCAAGAACTACCAGACTAGCTAATTCAGCTCTGTGTATAGTAAAAGAGAGCCCTCAAGCCACTTGTAAAAATTCTGGATCTCTTAAAGAGATTGGCGATTTTAACATTTCTGTTCTGTCTTTTACCATCCCAGAATGGATGTTTTCCCATTAGTGGCTTACAAAAAGTTGGCATGGAAATTGAATATTCACTATCACCTATATTGACACCTTTGGTCTTATTTTACCAGTAACCAAGGCTTCTCAAAGATGACTGCACAGAAAAGTAGCTGTGAACAGAAATGCTTGGTTTGTAGAACAAAAATTTCCTGAGGACACTTTGAAAACAGTTTGTTCCTTATTCTTAGAAGCAGACACCATCATTCATCATTGTGTATTTTTCCCCCAGTTTTCAGTCTCTTGAAGATTCCTTTCAAGAAATAATGTGACAGTCTTGTCTTCAACTGGAGCTGGCTTTATTTTTGTTTATTGTTGGTGTCAGGATGAATTTCTACACAGATCGGCAATCCCAGTCATTGTGGTTTTGGCAAATGTAGTATGGCTTACAGCGGGTGAAGGCTCAAGGAGTGTTTAATAGCAGTGTGGGAAGGTTATTAAGTATGCTAGCAGTGCAAGTCTCCTGCAGGGCTTTAACCCCTTGGTAGGATGTACCAGGAGGAACTAACAGCCTGACTAAACTTGCATACAAATCTTTTAACTTTAAAAGATATATATTTTTTTTGTAATAAGTTCAGATCTAACATAAAACTGTCTCAGGCCTTTATTTAATCATTTAAAAACCAAGAAGACTAACGTGTTCATCATGTATCTGTTGTTTCAAGGTACTGGTCTTTTGGTCACACAAAAAGTTGAGGTTTTCTTGTATCTTCTACAAGCATTATACTGTAGTTCCCTGGTAACAAAAAAGAACATACTGTCCATGAAAATCAGTCATCAAGCCTATTACAGGTTTAACTGCAAACCCAGATTAAGTTCCAGTCTCCTGTATCCCCTTTTTGTTTTTTTTATATGTGCTGAACGAAAATCCTCTGCAATGATTTTTTCTCCAGAACTACACACTCCATTTTATTAGAGCGTAGCTGGTACTTAGTCTCAATGTTTTTAATTCATAGAATTCCATTTTGACGTGCATAAATCAGCGTCTGCTGGTGCTGATTTGGCACTGAAATGTAAGTATTGGCAGAATGAATTTAAATGCAATCCAGCTATTTTTGATCAATTTTTTTATGGGGGTAAAACTACAATTGCGATGTTTGTTGTCTTAACGTTAAAACAAAAAAAGACAAGTCCTGAACTCAATTTTCAGTAAATGCCTGTAGAGATTGTTACTGAACATCTATGGAAATAGATCATTTAGTGCAACTTTGCTTTTATTGGAAGTCCTGTATGACAATGCCCATCTGTATCACACGCCCTTCCGTCCTTCAGTCCATTTAAATGAAAGACCATGTGTGGACTGTGCCTTGGGGCATGGGGCTGCAATGTTGTCTTATGTTCTGATCGGCAGCTTTAATGTTAATACTTGCTATAAATATGCAAATGTATTCTTCCACTTTTGTTTCTTTCTCTTCCGTAATGAAGGAGTTAAAGTCAGAACATCAAAGGATTGGGATTACAAGCGAAGAAAAAGCCCTCTGTATACATACCAGTGTGTAGCACCCTAATTAGCTGAATACACAGCCGCGCAGCACAGTTTGCCTATGGGACCAGACAGGATTGAAAGTTCCTGAATGTGCCCATGTACTCTGGTTCCTATCTTCCTCTTTGTATTAGGCTGCTGTTGTCGTGGTCTTCAACTTCGCCATGGTTCTGCTCATCTTCCCAGCTATTCTCAGCATGGACCTTTACAGGCGGGAGGACCGCCGTCTTGATATCTTCTGCTGTCTCGTCAGGTAAGGCTTCCCGAATGACAGGTCAAGAGAGGAATCGAACGGTTTCGGAAGCATTTTAAGTAGGGCCATTTCAGTGTTCATTTTCCCAATGTATTGTTCAAGTGTGATCAGGTCTGGCGGCAAACCTCTGGGAATGTGCCAACATCACAGAAGCAAACCTAATCAAGAAAACTGGCATTAAAGCCATTTAAAAACATCATATGAAAGGTCTCATTTTAAAACACATTTATGTTCTTCGTCATTACAGAAAATTGCGTGCATGAAAGGGGGACCATCAGCAATTTTAGAAGGGTCAAAGTCAAAGTCCCTCCGGTCAATTTGCCCTAAATCCGTTAATCTAATAGAGATACTGATAGAATGTAAAGCATCACGAATGTTTTGTCTGATTGTTTTTTATGTCAGATTCAAATTTGGCTCCCCAGCGTATGTTTAATAGGTGTTCATCTTTGAGCCTTCTATTTAATGCAACATTGGTGAGGACCTAATCAGTTTTCAATGCTTTTTTTTCTTGTACTGTACCACTTTAAAATTTGTTGACAGTTACGTCCTTAATGGTGCCATGTACAAGAAAAGTTAATTTCAGAAAAGTTAATTTTGACCAGCTAATGTAACGAACACTCAGTAGCTGCTAATTATGAAATACATATTCCATTCTAATGACGGCGCACGATTGGCTAAGCGTTGAGGAGGGAGGGTGGGACTAGTCCACCTGCGCACTCTCAGCTCGGGGGACCATTGCTTCTTGCCCAGGCCGTGTAAGACGTGTGGTGCTGTCAGCGAAGGATGCGCCTCTCCTCCAGTCAGTGCTGAACCTCCTGTAGGGGGTTGCATTGCCGTGACATGTTAAAGACAACTGTGGGTGGGTCAGAGGAATCTTCCCACACTTCCTTGTTCTCCCCGTGTGCGATCTCAGGGCTCACAGCTATTATACACATAATAGGCAATTCCAAATTTGGGTGTGTTTAATAAAATTAAATGTCAGTTCTACTCTTACTTAAAACTACACGACTGACTCGATTCTTATTGGTGGAAGGTTGTCTTGTATTCCTAAATTCTGTTACATTTAGGACCTGTTTAGCCTTTGATATCTTGTGTGATGGTTTTGGTTAAATATCAGCTTCTGGATTTTTATTTTGCCTTTAATATAGCTGTTGAGTGCTGTGTAAATAGCTTCTGGGGAAAAAAATTGAATTCTCAAAGTTGTGTATATGATTAATCTGTCCGGTAACCAAAGCACATTCTCTTTTCTTGAATCAGCCATGGGGCCTTCATGGTTGTAACTGTATTATACATTAAGCACATTCTTAAGAAGGCAAATTAATATCCAGTGGAGTAACATAGTTTCCAAGTAATTATAAGGCTGCTGTTGAAGCAGGGCCTTCTTTAGTCTCATTTGTGTTTGCAATTACAAAATTGCACGGTGAAAGGCATCCCGCTGGAACCACCACCGAGGCCTACTCCTGCTTCCTGTGCACATTGCCTCACATTTTTCCTTTATTCAAGAAAAAGGGGGGGGTTTCATCTGCAGTCAGCTTCAGGCAAATATTTCCTGAACAAAGTCATTTTACTGTCACTTGCAGGAAATTAAAGTTAATGCGCAAACCTTCCCCTCATCATTACTTTGCTTTTTGTCAATAATAATTTTTAAAGATTATTTTGAAAAGGCATTCCAGTTAGGAGCATCTTGGCAGCACACCTCAAGGGTTGTTTTCTTTTCTTCCCTAGATTAAATACCGTTCGCATAGAGCGAGATGCATTTGTCTCATTGGCTTATTGAGGGAGTAGTAGAGGATCTAGGAAGTAGTTGAGTTCTTTTGTCAAGAGCAGTGATACAGAAAAGCAAACTGAAGGGATTGATCACGTTTTCCTCCCCCCTTTTCCTTTTCTAGTCCTTGCGCAAACAGGGTCATTCAGATCGAACCCCAGGCCTACGTGGACAGCATTGACGCCAACCGCTACAGCCCTCCCCCGTCCTACAGCAGCCACAGCTTTGCGCACGAGACCCAGATCACCATGCAGTCCACCGTCCAGCTGCGCACCGAATACGACCCTCGCACTCAGGCCTACTACACCACCGCCGAGCCGCGCTCCGAGATCTCGGTGCAGCCCGTCGCCACCGCCGCCAGCAACCACACCGGCTCCTCTCGGGTCAGCACCGGTAACAATAACAACAACAACAACAACACCACCACCAGCAGCAGCTCTGCTGGTCCAGACAGCCTGAGCTGCCAGAGCCCGGAGAGCGCCAGCTCCACCCGCGACCTGCTGTCTAACTTTACCGACACCTCTGCCCACTGCATAGAGCCACCCTGCACCCGGTGGACCTTCTCCTCTTTTGCAGAGAAGCATTACGCCCCTTTCCTGCTGAAGCCCACTACAAAGGTCAGTGGTCCCCTCTCATTCTTCCTCTCTCCTTTTCTCTCGCAGGCAGATTCATTCATTGCGCTCTGAGATTTCCACTCTACCTCTTCCTCCTCATTCCATTGGGCTCATTAGATTAGGTGTTCAAGCAGGGAGCTGCGTCGGCGTGCGCTGACTGCAAAGGAACAGGTAAAGGTTAATTCCACGCGGACGAAGGCTCTGTAGCTGACACTTTGTGTTTCTCCTTTTTATTTTACAGCATGGAATTAACCTTCACTTGGTCCGCTGAGATATTTAATTAGAACAGCATGGATGGAAAGCCAGGTTTTCAGTTGTTTATTCTAGCCTCCTGCTAATCACTTGACAGTACCAACTACACATCTATTCAACTAAAGACATTTCCTGGCATTGGTACCAGGAAGCACTTGAGCTTGGACAGTCAGTGGAGGAGTAATGATGGATGAATGAAAGTTGAATCGCCCTTCAGGCATAATTTTTGTGACGCATGTGTGTTCTGTCTCTGTAGGTTGTGGTTATATTCCTCTTTCTGGGTTTGCTTGGCATCAGTTTGTACGGGACAACCCGTGTTCGCGATGGGCTGGAGCTGACGGACATTGTGCCTCGGGAGACGAGCGAGTATGACTTCATCGGAGCACAGTTCAAGTACTTCTCCTTCTACAACATGTATGTCGTCACGCAAAAGGCAGACTATGCCAATTTGCAGCCCCTGCTCTATGACCTGCACAGACGCTTTGGCAATGTGAAATACATCCTGAAGGAAGAAAACGGACAGCTTCCCAAAATGTGGCTGCACTTCTTTCGGGACTGGCTACAAGGTAATGCATCTCGGACGATGAGTTACAAGGCGTTCTGCATACGACATACTGTATTGTTATGCAGCCCTTAAGTAGGACTCTTTTCTGTAATTTTTCTTGGATTTCCTTGGATAGCTCTGCTGTTTTTTTTGTGTTGTTGTTGAGTCCATGATGTAATTGGTTCCCATCATTCTCTTTTCTCTTTCTAATCCCCTTGCTTTCAGTGTTTGACACAACCAGCCACCCGCTCCATTTTGGAAAGCATTTTAAACAAAAAAAAACTGGGTTGCTCCAGGCTCTTCCGTGCCAATTAATCTGATCACTGACATAAACCAATTTACAGAAAAACAGACAGTTGAAAACTGTTCACTTTTTACCATTATTAGGTCATTTGTTTTCCAGAACATGAATTGTAGAGGCTTAGAACTAATTGAGAGCACATTTACAATGGTTGAACAGTGATGATAATAAATCCACAAAGAAACATGTGCAGTTACGTGTTGGAGCAGCTGTTTGGAAGCACTATCCATCCAAAAACCAAACATCAACAGCTCGATGAGTCCCAGATCTTTCATCAATAAATTTTTCATTCCTGAGAGAATGCTAATCGGTTTGCATTTTGGGTGTTGTTGATGTAAGAACGATAGTGCTTTCATTGCAACGAAACAACATTTTGTGGAAATGCTTTGTCACTCCTGCAAATGCATCTTTGTGTGGCTCAGGAAATGGAAAGGTGTAGCGCCTGAGTGCTAAACAGATTCAAGTGAATATTGCAAGAATGTGGCCATTTTGTTAATGCTAAAGTTGCATTTATCAGTGTCTTCAGCGCTGTCTTCAAATGCTAAACATTTGTGCTGCCAGATGCCTTTGAACTTGGGAGCAGGGTGGGAGAGTCATGTGTTTAATATTGTGGTTTCAAACAGTTAGACAAATTAGACACAGACAGGGAGATGAGAGAGACTGAAACATGGTGTCCTAGAAATGGGCCACAGGCACAGAGAGGGCGTCTCTCTGGGATGTCATACGATCTCAAACAACGAAGGAGACTTTTAATCATCTTCAGTGCAAGCTCAGCTCTCTCTTGTGTCATGGAAGGATTGTTGTTTTGTTTAATATAGCTGATTGCCCCCTTTCATTTATGATCCTAGCTGCAGAGTTTTTTCGAACGCATTAAAAAATGTGAGCACATGCATATGTTGCTGAGATGTTGACAAGGTTTTGGCTCAGTGCCTGGTAGTAAAGAGACATACTGAGACTCCACAGGCAAAAAGCAAAAAAAACACTGGGAAAGGGGTGTCTTGTATTAGACAGTACACAGAGAATTTTCCTCCCGTTATCTCATATTTATTCTGTAGGTGTGTTGCAGTGAAGGATGACATCCTTAACTGCTTCATCTCATACATTTTAAAAGTCTGAAAGGACATTCTGTTTGTACCTACAGATTTATTAAATGTCTTCTGAGCAGGATTTATAAACGTCTGTGATCTGTACTGCCTACAGCCTGACTTGCTTTACTTTGTTTAAAAGTGGGTTTCCTTGCTGAAATGAAATGGAAAAATAGGCTAGCATTTGCGAGAGGAATCACTTACATTGGACTAGACTGCCAAAGCCGAAACATCGCCTGGTTTTATATGAATGAGTGTGAGATGTCCCAGACACGGTACTGATGTCCGACTGTAATTTTATACAAATTGTCAGCTGACATTTCAACCTCTGAAATAGTTTAATAATAAAGTGGTGCTCAGAGGGGCTTGAGTGATTCAGTGGGACAACAGTCTGGGATTGAGGAGTTAATTCTTTGAGGTCAGAAAAAGGCAGGTTCCATTTATGAGCATGGCGAATGGGGCTTTAGTACTCGGGTTTCATTTTCAGGCTTGACCTAGGGACTAGGACAGCATGGATTCTCAGATGGAAAACAGAAGACTTGCTCTTGATATTTCAATAACAAAGTGAGCCACCCAGATATTTGATTGGCCTGCACTTTAGAATGTTTGGTTACCATATGTTCTGTTTAAAAAAAAAAGCTTGTCTGGGGAGCACTGGCATTTGTGAAAATGGCAGGAATGTTTTCAAATGCAGGCTAATTGCATTCATACATCTATGAAATGTTTGTGCATGTCGAACAATCTCAAACTGGTTCCAAATGTCTAAAAATGCCGCACATCTAGGGCCGACATTTTCTGTGTATGTTTCTGGCTGCTTTTTGTGCGGTTAAAGGATCTAGCAGCTTCTTAACATTTAGCACTGCAAGAGATGATGATGCTTTCAGAAGATTTTTTAAGAAGCGGTCTGTATATTACAAAACCCTCCGCCTATGTTGAAATTAATGAATGGCTCCTTTAAAAATTCTACCGGGCAAGGTGCTCAAGCCTGGATGTGTCGCTAACCAGCTGTAATGGGAATTCCCCAAGCAGTGGCACAGAATAACCTGAACACTGCCTAGGGTGGGACGGAATTAGTTGGCACGGCTCTCTCAATTTCTGGCAAGGAAGCAAACCTCCTGGGCATTTGCAGGCTTGCCGTGCTGTCAGTGAGGGGACTCACAGATCACTCACAGATCACTGACCACTTCTCCTGTCAGCTGTCTGTGACGTGTCAAAAGAGAAGAGGCACAAAGGTCAGCGGGTGGGAGGAATCCGCGTGCACCTCTCCGTTCTCCCCCGTGTTACCTGGTCTGTGGTCAAGAGTCGAAGCATTAAAACACACAGCTGGAGAGTCTAAATTGGGTGGGTGTAACAAAAAATACCTTGCAAACCTGTTTTTTAGAGAAGCTACCTTGCCTCTAAATTACGTACAGAATGATCATAACAAAAAGGTGATAACACACAATTTGTTTGAGGAATTTCTGTGTAATGTATATTTTCAGAATTTGAGGTATTAGTTTTAGATTTCTGTGTGCTTTCTTCTGTTAAATCTGTTTTTGGATCAATGTTTGAGATTTTAGAAAAGGAATAGTATTATGGATTGAAAGGCACATACAGCAGACTGGTTTTTAACTATGCAAGCCTGTCTGAATTGAGGTGTATTCAGTTGTATAGCATTCTTAGCTTATATAAACATTGGTATTGAGCTGTTTATAGTTTCTATGAAGATATTTTTTGGCTATGCACATAAGGAAGTATCAGAAATATGAAGTGCCATATTCTCTCGGGCATGTAGCCTAATTCTGGAAAGCCAAGATCACATAGCAGCTTTCCTCTTGCCTGCAGGCTTTAGGACATGTTGGGACATTTAATGTGTTAGAAGGCTGCAGGGTTAATATGGTCTGTTCTGAAGGCATTACTGAGGCCTTCGTACCTGGTGTGAGTTGGCTGATAGTAGGAAGTCTTGGTTGAGTGACTAGCAAGTGGTCTTTCATATCACTCGATTGAACTGATTAAGAGAGATTACATTTCAACTCATTTGTACTGTGTTTAGCAGTAAATCTTCACTATGACTATGGTATTTCATTGAGAAACTGGGCCCTCCGCATTTCAATCAAAAGGTCAAGTTAAAAAAATTACTAAAGTTATCTAAAGAAATACAGAGTAATACTTAAACAACTAAATGAATAGTTGTCTACAAAAGTTGTTGGAGAGGCCTCTCCACCTCAAAAGATTATCAGCTTACCATGCCTATGGTGAAAATACAATTTTATTTTAAATAAAAAGCCCAAAGTTCTTCAATTAACATCCTTTGACCCCTCCAGAAAGTTTTCATTCTGAATATCCATCAGTCAGTACATCTGTCCGCCTCTGACGTTCTATGCTAAGCAGTCTCTGACTGGGCAGTATTAGAAGTAAACCTCTCATTATTAACCCCTTAACCTCAGCTTTGACACCATTTGAGTCCTTTACTTCACACAGGTTAGTTAAAGGTGAAACCAATTCTGCCTGGAGCTATTTTTGAAAATTAAGGGGTTGGAAGGAATTATTTGCAGTGGGGGCAGGTCACTGAGGCTTGGGGCCAATGTGGGAGACCGCAACTCCCCATAAGTGACACTGACCTATTTGGTAGGTCTCCATATGTGAAATTGCTTAATCACATAGACAACCATGCAGTACCAACGATCAAATTTATGTTTGGCATGCATGCTTGTATTTTTATTCATCATGCATTAATCTGCAGCACACTGTTTATTTTAAGTCTAAAAATGTCTTTGGTATAGCTGGTCTCTGTTCAGTTTAAAAGGCAGAGAGTATGAAGGAGGGGGTGGACAGTGAAGACTATATTTTATTTTTTGTTAGAGGGAAAGTAGAAGACAAGCTCAAAGGATCTTTTTTTAATTATTTTTCCTTCCCTTTCCACGGCCAGCAGTTAACCTGTCTGAAGTGTAGCTGTGGTTTTGATTACTGCTCTGCTTGCAGCTGTGAGGTGGGCCCGATCACTTCTCTGTACCCTGGGAGAGTGTGGTTTGTCATCTGCTTTCAGACAGAACGTTTGGGTCGGGCAGCTGAACTTCCCGTTCCAAATCTGATCCGAATTACCTGCTTGGAACTGCCCTGACCCTCAATACGCTCGCTCCTCTAGACCGTGCTGGTGTTGTTGATGTTGTGAGTCTTATTAGCATTTTCTAATTGTGGTGGGACATTAAAGGAAAGGAGCAGCTGAGAGGGAATAGGTGTTGGCAGTGATCTTAACACATGCTGGCAGCACCTCTCACTACTTTCATTAGCTCCGCCAGTCTGAACAGATGGTATACATTCACGAAACCATGTTCCCTCACACTGTGCGCTGCAAGCCGTCGGGCCCCGACGTTACACAAATATCATAGCAATTTCTTCCTTGAGCAGAGGACAGGAGGAACACCATGTTGCTGAAACCCTTACCGAGCTGAACACTCATGCAGGCGCGGTGCAGCTTTTGACCAGCTGTCATGGAGCAGCAGAATGCCTGAAAGGAGTTCTCTGTTGCTCTTCGACATGCAGTTTCTCAGTCTGAGATAGACTGAGAATACTTGCTTCAATGGCGTGATTACTGATGATTTATTCAACCAGATAAGTCAATTGAGAACAAGTGCTCTTTTAAAACGATGACCAGGAGAGCACTCACAGTTGGGTTGAAGCACCGTGCTCAAGGGTGCAACAGTGGCACTTCACCCACGATTCGAACCGGTGACCCTCCAGTCTGGAAGAGTCGGTGAATTTGTCGCGAGACCTGGTGACCTTGAACACGACGGAGGATTTATTAAATGTGAAGGTGACCAGGAGAAAATATCAAACAACAAGTCGGGTGACTTCGTATTCTAACTGTGAAAAACTTTAAATCGCTGAAAAATGCCGACCTCCTGCACTGCAGTGTGTGGTCCTCATCCGAGCATTCCCCTCCCTGCTACTCCCCTTGGCCCCGGTGACAGTCGCTCTTCTGGTCTGCCTTCACCCACAGATCCGACTTTAGGAAGGCAGCTTAAGGACGGCACAGCACCTCGTCAGCAGCCTTGTTTTGTCAGTGATGAGGAGCTCAGACTTCTTGACCGTTCTTCTCCAGCCCTCTGTGCTTCTTGTAGTTCTTGGAACATTGTGCCCAACCTGGAGACATCAATCATGCGATGACAATAATAGCCCTGTCTACTATTTCATGCCACTGTCACACATTCCTTGCATTCGTGTAGTGTTTTCCCATCCTGCAGGATCTCATAATGCTTACGCACATAGGAGCAGGACTCACTTCAAGAAGCTTCTTCACAAGTCGTGCTAATGGGGAAACTGAGCTAGGCCAGATTATGAAGTGTAACATCTCTACTCTTCCAAACAATGGATGGGATCTTTAATGTCCGAGTGGTCAAGACCTAGGCTTAATATGTACCAGGACAGATATTTTAGAAATTGGCTATATTCATCGGACTGTTATGTACTCTTCTGACGTTAATATAATCTGCTATGAGCACACCGTTGAGTAGACCAATATCCATAAAACAATAGGGGACACCCTTGAAATCCACGGTAATACACCAAAGCTTGGCATATGAGTGATTTATTTACTTATCAAGGAGCATCGCATTAAGAAATATGTTTTGCAAAACGAAAACGATCTTACACCTCATGGCATATCCGAATCTATGCACTGTCTTGTTAGGTTTGCAAGAGGCCTTTGACCGTGACTGGGAAGCAGGGAAAATCACCCAGACCACCTACAGGAATGGATCTGATGATGGCGTTCTAGCTTACAAGCTTCTGGTGCAAACTGGAAACCGGGACAAACCCATCAACTTCAGCCAGGTAAGAATTTTCTAAAGTCAGTATGGTTCTTTAACTTGTTATTCGAGTTTAACTCCCAACAGGCAGTTTGATCCAAATATTATTTTCTTAAGTCTTAAGATTTAAAGGCAGAAGTCAGGCTGTGCTGATTACAGTTTTCTTGATGTAAGGGTATCCATTAATAGAATTTTCTGTTCCTTTTGTGAGATTCTGTGGTCTAGGAAGGCTTTTGGAAGAAGGGTATTATGTTATAAAAGAATGAGCTGAAAGCCAGAAAATCCGCCAGAATGTTGGAAGATGAATTTTGGTGATGAAGGTTCTAAAAATGTTTGTAGCTTCTCATGTAAACCACACCTGGCTTATAAATGTACCTTTCCTTGATTACTTTACCAAGTTGGAGAATTTAAAGCTCTCACTGGGGCCGCAATAGACCTCTGAAAAAGCAATTAACTCTTCAAACCACTTGTCGAATTCAGTTGCTTCAGGCTAAAGATCTTGCATCTAATGATCCTCTTAGAAGCGCTGGACTTTCTCCACCTCTGCTCTCCCATTAAAGATGACAGTTTAACACAGTACATTGTTCAGAGTTGATTCACTGTACAACTTGGGGCTTTATGGCACGATACTAGGTCTCATTCATCTCCGAGAAACGCATTTTGGAGAAGCATTTGAAAAACGTGCTTTTTTAACTGTCGGGTTGCGATAACTCGTCGTGGGCCAGGTAAAGAGCAAAACAACTCTGTTGGAGCGCAGCTTCTGATGTAATTTCCTGTGCCTTGGAGGGAATGCAAGTGTGCTGTGCCCAGAGGGGCCACAGGCTGCGCAGTGTGCTTCCAAAGACAGCTTGAAGACATACAGTTGTTGTGTATCCTGCTGGTTAATTGAATCCAGATCTTTGGAATCCAACCTTTTTTGTACTGCTGTCACTGTTGTGTTTCATTTCATTACATAGAAAGGAACTGCATCTGAAGCAAGACCAGCACTGTGAGTTAGCACAGAAAGAACTCCTCACCACATGTGCAAAAATAGCCTTCGATGAAGTGCATGTGTGAAAATGAATGCTTGCTATTTAAAATGCAGAAGATCTTTACGTTTTAGCACTGACCGTTTTAAATGGCCCTAGTTGTAGATCATGTATCAAGCTGAGCTATTTGCAGTTATACTTTTACTATTGACTCGTTTCTTTCCTATTTAGAGTTGCTTTCATGGGATTTACTACCAAATAATTCATTTTATTTTCTTACCCTAGTCTCGCCCTGCAAACAGGGAAGAAGTGCTGTGTGGAGCTGGGCATTTTCTGAATCCATAGGTCAGGAGCAAGCAAGTGTTAGCAAAATTTGTACAGATGTTGTTTTATTTTTATAGCTCTCCTCCATTTGCTGGGTGGCATTTCCTTCAGTGTTAACAACAGAGGTTAACTGCACACAGACGTGCACAGGGACCCTTGCCAATTTTTTTATTGTTACGCTAACTCGAGCAATTTTTCTCTTGAACTCCCAACTTTCAGAATCCTGGATTTATTGTTCTGAAGCCGATGCGTGGCACAGAATATTTTTCATAATATTTCTGCCTACTCTGGAGGTAGTTTTTGGCTTTAATTAATCTATAGAAGAATGTGAGGTAGGAAAGATGAGAAGTTTTGCATCAGAAAATCAGGTAGTTAAATATAAAGAACACCAATTTCCATGACAGAGTAGTGTTGTGTGCTTTGCATGAACTATTTTTAATCGATCATTAGTATACAGAAGCAGTCATTTGAAACTTTCAAACTAGTTTTGATTTCCACAGTAAATAAATGTTTCTAATGAAACTAATAATCCCATCTTTTCCTTTCTTTTGGTTATTTCCACCTTTGAGAAGTCTACTTACAGTTTAGCCCTGTGTCGAGAGTGTAGTTTCCAAAACAGAACTGCAAAACGAATACCTAAAGATTAGTCTTGTTTTGCAAGTGGTGTTTTAATAAGTGCTGTTTGAGCCATCGCTGGGGCCTCTTGAGTGGCTCGACCAGTGAAGTCACACGTCTGCAACTCTGTGGTCACGGGTTCGAGCCCACCTCGCGTCACTAGGGTTCCCCAAGCTGGGGCACAGCCCTGACCAGTGCGGGGTGGGATGTGTTGGTCCAAGCTACCCCGGCCTTAAACAGTGCAGTGACCTCACTGCCCATCGGGGTGCGTGCAGGCAGACAGTGCTGTCAAGGGAAGCACTTCTCCTCCACTGAGCCTGTGCGTCTGTGACACCGGAAGGTTCCTCATTCTCCCCCCTGTGTGGTTGCGGGGCTCGTAGCCGCAAGACAAAATCTGAAGAAAAAAAAAACGCACGGCCAATTATTCCAAATCAAATGGAGATTCTAAATGACAAGAAATAATCATAAATAATAAAATTGTTTCCACATGTTTTTAACACTTTTTCTGTCGCACTATCAACACGTACTGTATAGGCGGAGGGTTTTGTTTTATTTTGTTACTTTGTATCTTTAAGCCCGCTGTCGCTTCCATTTGCGTTGCAGCTGACGAAACAGCGCCTGGTGGACGCGGACGGCATCATCAACCCAAGTGCGTTTTACATCTACCTGTCTGCCTGGGTCAGCAACGACCCTGTGGCCTATGCGGCCTCCCAGGCCAACATCAGGCCCCACCCCCCCGAGTGGATCCACGACAAGACAGACTACATGCCCGAGACCAGGCTCAACAGTGAGTACGGCTCTTCCTTCCACCCCGCCGGTGCTGGCGCTTCAGCTACCAGTCCCATCCGCGGGGCAGAAAGCACCACTTGTCGGAACAAATGAAGCACGTGTCCCTGTTCTCCCATCTCCAGAGCTGGCCTGGACATCTTAGTCATTTCAGTAAAAACTGAGTTATCTTCTTTTTTTATAGTGATTCTTCAGGTGTTAATTTTTGTCATCTTGAAATATTGGGCAAACTTTGTTAAACAGAACTGGGCTGTTTTTGAGCACTTGTTCTAAAACCTGATTTAATTCCAGATTAGTCAGTGGTTTGGGTGCTGTGTTGCTCCTACTTAAATGAGTACTTAAAATGGAGTGTTTGTAGTTGATTTTCTAGATTTCCCCCTTTTTCTTTATAACAGCCATTCAGAGACCTTGCTCACTGTTATTAAAATCATTATGTTATTGAGGTTCTCCCTTTTGTGTAGCCTTATTTTCCATTCATCCCTGTGAGGAGGTGAAAAGGGACATGTTCCTCACTTCAGGGTTCTTAATGCAGCGGCAGAAATGTGAGCTGCCACACATACCTACACTTCATGTAGTGCTCTTTGCAGGTGAGCAGGAGTGTGGGTGTGATTTCCACTTCCTCGACGGAGAGAGCAATGCGCAGAACCAGAGGAGTGGCCTCTTGTCCAGGAGGAAGACCCTGGGCTGATGTAATTTGTATTGAAGTCAGGGTTATCAGGCTGACTACTAGTTGTGGTTATTGGGCTGCAGCAGGGGGGCTCTTGGAAATGGAACTGGATAACAAGCACAGAGTGCTTCACTGTATTTGAACCCCGGAGCCTTGTGGCAGCCTTCCAAGTCTTGTCTTAATGGAAATTTATAGTTGAGATTATAATAGGGCAAATCATGTTTAGCAAGTCAGCTGAATGACCCTGCAGGGGCTGGAACACACAGAGCCAGCAACTAAAAACACTGGGATGATGGAGTTTTCAGGTTCATTAGACTGGAATGTTCTTTAAAAAAAAACTGTATTATTAGCTCTGCATCAGGCTTGGAAATGAGGATTTTGTGATAATATGGTTTTAAGTGGGATATCTGAAGCCTTAATTATAGAGGATTAATGTCAGAAGAAACACCCAGTTGTATGTCATTCTATTTGATAACCGATAATTTTCTCCTCACTCACCCCCCAAAGCCAGTAAGGTGTGTTATAGTAAACTGTTCTTCGCAGTATCAATATATCTCCTGTTTCCAGGAAATGGTAGCTCTTACACATACAAAGAGGAGTCAGTGTGCTCTGGGGCTCTGAGAAGGTGACTGGTTGTCTTGCTGGTGTAATCCCTTGGTGTTATCCATATGAGAGGGTTTCTGCAAGAATCTGAATGGATTGTACTGCTGAGATTCTGACCTTGTTCTTTATGAGTTTAACAAAGGCGAATGTTTACACGCAGCACATTTTCCTTATGCTGATCACAGGTATCACTGCATGAAAAGCTTTAAGAATAAAAGTGCCGAGAAAGAGAAAACGCAAACAGCTGGTACACAGGTGGCCTTATATAAACTATTATTTGCTCCTTTTGTGTGCCTAGACTTACACACTGGAGTGTTTTCCACGTTGTCTTTTATGCGCTCAGCATTGAGTTTTATTGTGTCATGCTGTATCTCAGTGCCCTTCTTGTGTCAATGACATTTTGCTGTGATGGTAAAGGTAGTGCTCAAAATGCAACAAATGTTTTTCATGTATAGATTTTACTTGTCGTATTCCAGGATCCTTAATGACTCTGTATGGTTTCAAATCTGCACGTGGCTGTCTCTGGAGAGGGATTTTTATAGCTGGTAGGCGAACAAAGCCTCATGTGATCAGTAAGAACAAGGAGATGAAACGGCAAGAAGCCAGCTTTCTGCAGACGCCCTTAATTTTACTAAAGCAAGTGAGACATTAAAATGTCATTTGAAGCTATTTAGTATTTAACCTTTTTGTCCTTCCGACACTGCTGCAGATGGCAGAAGGTTTCTCCAATGAAATGACATCTGTTTACAGAAGCCCAGCCATCGGGGTCACTAGAAGCTGCCTCTGTGGGCCTCTTTATAGAGCTGGGGTAATTGTGAGCTGATACAGAAGGTTTCAGGCCTCATTAAGACCAACATGGAAAGTTGATTATCAGAAAGGAATGTAATGAGAGGTTTATGTTTTTTTTTCTCGTTCGTTTTTTCTTTCTGTAGTTCCAGCCGCTGAACCCATCGAATATGCTCAGTTTCCTTTCTACCTCAATGGGCTGCGGGAGACACCCCAGTTTGTTGAAGCGATTGAAAGCGTCAGGTCAATCTGCAGCAACTACAGCAGACAGGGGTTGCCCAGCTACCCCAATGGCTACCCCTTCCTGTTCTGGGAGCAGTACATTGGCCTGCGCCACTGGCTTCTTCTGTCAATCAGCGTGGTGCTGGCCTGCACCTTCCTGGTCTGCGCGCTCTTCCTTCTCAACCCATGGACGGCCGGCATCATTGTAAGTCAAATGAAACTGTCAACCCACCACACGCCTTTCATCGGGTTACCTTTGCCATCGTTATGAAAGATCCGTCCTAGAAGTCTCATCTACTAAAAAAAACCAAAACATTTTAAGCAGTGCTCTTCCTTAAACCTGGAAAGAAAGTTTAGTTGTGGTTTTTCATGTGGTTTGCACATTTATTAACAGGCTTTATGAAGTCGGAAGACAGTAGATTTAGCAGCAGGCTGGGTGTTTGTCTTTTCCCCCTTTTCCATATTTTGCCCCCTTCTTATTATTCAGCAGCACATCCAAGGGGCATAAACTCGTTTAAGGCTTTCCAAGTTGTTTTATTTTCTTTGTACAAGTAGAGGCATTCTGAAGCTGTTTAGAGTTCTCTCAACCATTTTTAAGCTAGCCTGATCTTTAGCCTGATGACTAAACGTTTCCAATTCCATGGCTAGATAGTTAGCTTTAGGATGTGCAAAGATTCAAAACTTGCCCAGTTTTTCCTCAAGAAACACATTATAATTAATGAATTAACACATTATAATGGTTATTAATTATAATCTTTACATTTATGTAGTGCTCTGCAATCAATGTTCACCAAGCACTGTACATATAGGGCAGGACCCCCTTCACACACCACCGAAGTGTAGGCAGCAGCCTCACTGCTCAGCAAATCAGGAGAGAGGTGAGAAATGAATTTTCTGAATTAAGAGGGACCTTAGGAAGGCCAGATCATTCAGAGAGAAACCTAAGAGGATTGCAGTCTTACTAACAGTGCCGTTAGATCTTTAATGACCCAGTAGTCAGGACCTCTGTTTCATGTTTCATCTGAAGTACAGCACTTCTTATTTCACTTGGAGCTCTCTCAGTCCGTACCTGGTCCGGCCTTGCTTAGGGTTTTGACAGTTGAGTAGATCAGGCAGCAAGGTGGTGATGTTACTGTCAGAGTTATCCAAGAGCTCATTTGTTTATTGGTAAAAAAGCTAAAGGTCACATTCATACCAGAGCCACAGAGGCTTGTTCTGGTTTACCATGGCATGAAACTAAGACTTGAGAGAACATGAAAAAAAAGAATGTGAACGAAGTTTGTACAACGTTGTTTTTAAAATGGCACATAAATGACCAAATATCAGGCAGACGGTTTGAAGAAGGATGTTTCCAGCAGCACTGCGAATCCTAAAAAGACGTAGATGTTTCATGTAAAAACCATGTCGCGACAAGGATCTTAAATGCTGTTGTCCACCACATTCTGGTTAATCCTTAACACATCTTATAAACATAATAAAAGCACTATTTGCCAGATAGTTTTTGAAGAGTGTTATTCATGAGGTATGTCATTAGTTAATTCCAAAATATTTCGATGATGAGTTCTGGAACATATTGTATGTTCTTACAAATATTAGCACTGATCTATGCAATATTGGTCCTCAAATTAAAGAAAAGGCAGAAAATTTAGTGCAGACCCACTTTTTTTTTGGAAAGACCTGTTCTCTAATCTTGTTCTTTGTCCTTCGCATATCTATCTAGTCTTAGTATTTTACAATTAATTAATTGCATAGTCTGTTCTGTCTATATTAAGCATTCTTACCACTTTGGTGTTAAACTGTAACTGTTAGAAAACTTTGCTGGAAAACACCTTTGAAGAAAATGTAAGCTATTTCATAGCGTTCTATACTTCAAAGATGCTCATAAAAGCAGTTTGCAATGTACCAAAGCAAACACAAAATCATAGACACTGTTTATTTAATCATATTAGAGGATTCTCATGTTTTAATTACAAAGATGTATTTTACCTTTTTAATAATGTTATGTAAACACTTTTTACACTACTTTGTTTTTTTTTACACTACTTTGCCAGTGTTTGTGAATTAATCTTTGTCAATCCCTCCCTTCATCAAAGCTTTCCATTTTGTTAGAAGACTTAAGAGTGTAGTCTGGACTACTTTATCCTATAGTCTTTCAAAATAAATAGTTTGTTGTTTTCCTGTTAGCTGCAGACACTACAGAAATCTCTTTATTCTGTCCTAGCACATTGGTAGTTTAACTTGGGAGAATATTAGCTCTTGTGTTGACCTTAATAGAATTGGACTGCAGCTTAGAAAGAAAGATTGCCTGTGGTTTTATTGCTAGGGGTCTCAGTGTTTATCTTCCCCTATTTTGTCAAGGGGAAGTTTGTTTAGTCTACATGGTGCTTTTAGAGGCACTTGTTTAAAGTGAATTAGGATAGAAGTGAAGTAACACAGGCAACAGTGACTGAACTTGTGAATGCCCTTTTTCTTAAATACCATTAACGTATATATATACAAGCAGATGGGTGTTATCTGCTCTTCCAAAACCTGGCTCGTCAAAGTTCATTTTCAGTCTTTAAAATTTGATTGGAGCAAATTTGTTCAATTATCTGGAGTTTCTGAAATCAATTAGTTGTCTAAATTAATAAACCTAAAACTGTTGGCCTTGGTTCCTGCAAGGCTGTGTTTTAGAGTTTCCCAGTGACATTTAAAACCTTAACACTTCGAAATAATAACCTCGGAGCCTCTGGGCTGGTACGAACAAGTTACACATACATACTGTTTACAGTACAGGATAAAGTATTTCATCTGACCTTTGTTAAGTAGATTTTTATTTTTCTTTCTCAATATGATTGAATTTATGAAACTTTATGAAATAGAATATAATCTAGCTTTTAGGGATATCTTAAATATTTGGTGTACCTTTCTTAAATTATATCCATTGAATATAAAATCATGTACAATTGCTCAGATGAATGCAAAAAAAAGCACCCTGTAGTTAAGTTTCACAAATTAAGAAGACTGTAGTAAACTTTGCCACAGAGGAAACACTATACACAAACCATTGCTTTATGTAAATGGTTATTATTTATTCCAGAAGAAACTGAAGCCGTGAGTGTTTAACCTGTATTTAATCTTGGGTTTCTCCAGTGAACCTGTTAATAAATCATAGATAATCTTCTCACCAAATGATCACCCTGTCATTTGTAAAATTACATGCTGCTTTCAGTCAGAAGCTTAAGACGCCTTTAAGAACCCGAGAAAGTTGGGAAAAGTTAACTATAGGATATAATAACATAACAAACCAGGCACAACTACTGAATCCTTTAAATCAGGAACCAGCAAGAGGGAGAAATAGAAACCATGACTTCAATTATGAAAATGAAATCTGACAATCATGTGGCCTTGGTGAGACTGCTCAAGCAAAGATTATTCTTAAAAAGGCAGAAGGAAATGTGTGTTCAGATATTTAATGGAGGCCAACACATACACATAAACTTTTCGTCCTATGTGCGTATTAAAACGGAAAAGAAAACCACTGAAGGAAGGATAGACCTACTGTTGAAATGTTTATTACTTTTGACAAAATTGAAATTATTTCAGCTGCTATACTGGGTAGAATTAATAAACAACACTACCAAATGGATCTAATATCTGTTCTACTACCCTTACCTTAACCACATCGAATGTTTATGGGATAAATGTGATGGACGAAATTAACAGATTTCAGCCAGTCTGTGGGAGGCTGTTGGTGGGAATGCCAGATAAAAATGTCCAGAGATCCATATGTTTAAGAAGCCTAACTTTTCTTCAGAATAAAAGTTTATCTCTCCTTTCCCATTTTCTATTTGAGTAAAATTATATACAGATACAGACATGTTTATGAGCAGGAATATTTCTTGCTTGCTTTGAGTTCAGTGTTTTCCTTTCTGTGTTTTATTGTAGGCTATATTTTACTCATCCCAATCCTCTAAAGCTGTACCCTGGATTTCTGGTCCATCCTTAACGTTTTACAAGCTAGATGAAAGAAAAGGTTATGGGCTGAGCTTCAGATTTAACTGTTTGCTTTGTCCAAGTCACCCCCTTCCTCTCCCCACCCAACTCCCTTTAACCCACATTAGTTGCTGAGAGGCCCCCCAGTAACTTGACACTCATCAGATGATAATGGCATTTACTTCACTACTGACTTTGGGCCTGCCAGCTTAGTTTTCACTGAAATCTGAATATTTACAAAATGCTGCCCAATCCAAAGAAATTAGCTTGACCTCTTTTGGTGAAATTTGTGTAGCCTCGCCTTCAAAATCACTGCTTTGAGATTAGGGAATAAAATTAGAAATACAGCAGCATTTTCTAAGGCTTTGATTGTATAAGCAGATATTTTCTTATAATTCACTTTTTATTCTTCATGTCAAGCAAAACTGACAGATCCAAACCAACAGAGAATTCACATTGGCCTTGCCCACCAATTCCGTATGGAGCTGTTTAAATCGACATTTTTAAGGTTCAAAGCCTTTCTGTTCTGAGAAACGAGGGGGAGAGAGAGAAAGGTTCAAAAAAATTGTTTTGATTGCTGAAATGTCTCTCAAGTGTGGTGTTCCTGAAATGCAGCAAAAGAATAACAAGAAAGTGGAGGGTTGGAGCTTTCTGGTCTGTGTGGTAGCAGCTGACTCCATGGTGTTTAACCCTGCAGGTGCTGGTCTTGTCCCTGATGACTGTGGAGCTCTTTGGGATGATGGGCCTGATCGGGATCAAGCTGAGTGCTGTCCCTGTGGTCATTCTCATCGCCTCTGTGGGCATTGGAGTCGAGTTCACTGTCCATGTGGCTTTGGTGGGTGTTGTCACTAAATAGGTGTAGAAGCAACTCGAAGCTAATCAAGGTGTAGAAGCAGTTTGAAGAAGCTAATCACAATTAGCTCTAGTTTTATTTCACTCTGTTGCTAGAATGTGGGGCTTATGAGAGTACGGTATTCTACTGGTTTACTATAAGATCTCAATTTTAAGACCACTTTTACACAAACTCATGTGGTTTAAATTAATTGTGTATATATATATCAAAAGTGGGAGGGAAAATCAACTCTGTGGATCATTGTTCACAGAGTTCTTCAGCACTCGTATAATGCCTTCTGATCTCTACTGAGTGCCCTGTATGTTGATACTGGACTAATTTACGGTAGTGATGAACTATTTCTGGAAGAGGAAATATAGCCACTATAGCTTTGTATGTTTGGCATAAAGCTGTCAGTGGAAACTGGGTGGGAAAACTTTGCTAATTAAACAAATGAGTTATGTCCTCATACTAGAGCACAAATCAGTAGCATAACGGTACTGAGATATGTTTTATATTTTTTCTACATGACATTCAGTCACATCAACAATTTAAGTCCCCTCCCGTTCCTGTTAATGGGCATTATAATCTTTCTTATTTGCATCGTGTTTTCAGTGCTTTAGTTTTAACTGGGTAGAGGCGAAAGATAGCCTGGTTATCTTTGATTGGCCGATGAAAAAGAATTTAACTCCCTTTAGATAAAAGCACAGGGAGATGATCTGAGTTAAGCTCAGCCCTCTTTGATTTTTAAATGCAGCTTTTACACGTACTAGTTAAGGGGAAATGTCTGCATTTGCTTCAACCCTAATGTAAGCTGTACATCGGTGTGAAAATATGTCATTTTAAGACGTTAATATAATGGTTTCGCTTATCTGCCCTAAACTTCTTTTTGTCTTCTGTTTTTGCTGTTGCAGGCCTTCCTAACTGCCATTGGGGACAGGAACCGCCGCGCTGTCCTGGCATTGGAGCACATGTTTGCTCCCGTGCTGGATGGGGCCTTCTCCACGCTTCTTGGAGTTCTGATGCTCGCGGGCTCTGAATTTGACTTCATTGTCAGGTAATCATCTCGGCCAAACACGCGTGCGCTCCGTGTCGATCCGGATGCGCTCCTGCCGCCAGGCCCTGAGAGAGCACAGGCTCCCGTTCTGTGTTTTTCCAGTTGTTCCGGACGTGCAGTGAGTTCAGTGTAGGCTTTAGAAACCCGCTGGAGTCAATCGCTTGATGCCCATCAACTGTTAAGAGTTCTCTCTTCAGCTGTTTTTTTTTATCAAGCAGCAAATCTTATGGGAACATATCCCTTGAGAAGGTTTATAGTCTGTCATGTTCTTCCTAACATCAGTGGTTTCCAATGTAAATATGAACGACAGGCATGCCAGCACATCTACAGTGAGAACAGTTTTCCATTGCTTGTATGTTTTCAGTTGTTGGAAGAAGTCTTGTTTGTTGCAGTAGAAAATGATCTTGAGGATATAAGCCAACAGGGTATGCAGTAAATATTTACACACTTTGACTTTGTGTGTTACACATTGTGCGGAGCGTAGTTCGAGGTTGGTGTCGAATTCCCTTCTTAAGGCTACGGTCCTCGTTTGGTCTTAATTGCCGTCATGAAAGAGTTAAAGATTTCCTCTGGGTGCCAGTAGCTGAGGCATTTACCTGAAGATCTGTGAGGCGTGGAAACCATTTACCCATCTCTCACTGCTGCTTTTCTTCTGTCTTTCTAGTGCGAGTTTTGTTTTCCTTCTGCTGAAGCGTGTCATTTTCTGTGCTTCAGTGTTTGTGAAAGGAAGTGCCTTGCAAGATTACCTTCTCCTGGTGGTTGACCCAGGTCTAACCCATGACTCGGAACAAATGTTTAAGGGGAGATGTTCTGAAGGCACCACAGTGCAGAAATGTTTAAGTGGGAATAGGCTGGCGTGTATGTCCTGTTTATGTATTTTAGTGGCTTCTTTTTTTTTTTGGAAGTGATTAGTGTGAGGTGGGGCGATGGAGATACCAGTTATATTAAATCCAGGAGGTACTGGACTATACTGTAGATGAAAACGTTTAGATTTCTTACCTATATGATTTTCTGATGCCCACATAATCCCTATAGGTTGTAATTTTTTTCTCCTTTTTCCATCTATGCTTCCTTTGCGTAAACAAACTTCAGTTTGCTATAGCGAAAGAATACGAAAAGCGTTTCGGTGCCAGAATGAGATGTTATAGTATCTGAGCATGTGGGTGTATACCAGTACTAAACAGAGGAAAGCTGTTCTCCCTCAGTTTCAAACTAATCTTGAGAGCAGAGGCAAATTAAGCTGAGGGATTTACTGTTTGGGGCTGAAGGCAGCCTGTCGCTTGTGGGTTTAATTAAGAATCAGGAGTTCATCAGTCCAGTCAAGGGACTCGTTTTTTTTTTTCCTGAGCAATTTGAGAAGAGCAGTGAAACAGATGCCTTTCCTTCGCTAAACAACCAGTGGAGCTCTGCAAGCAGGAATTGTCTCGTGTTCCTAGTAACACTGCTTCTTTGTGATGGGTGCTTGTGGCTGTTGGATGGCGGGGGTGAGGGGCAGGTTGCTCTGGAGAAGGGACAGCACAAATAAAAACCTTGACAGGAGCTCAGGTATGACTCTGGGCAAACCTCACCTTCCCAGCTGAAAATGGACGGACTCCACTTTTTGTCTGCATACAGGAGCTAAGGGTCAGCAGTGCTAGACTCGAAATGAATCGCTCAGAATGCGGAAAGGTTCTGCCATTTTAACTCTGTACTTCTGTAAAGGCACTCTAAATGACAGCGTCTCACTGTTATACTAAATGTGATAAAAAGCAGCTACCCAATATTTTGAACCTTCCTTTCGTAGAAATTGTTTGGCTTTACTGTCACATTCCTAAGTATGGTGACAGATGTGTACTGTTCTGAGCACCTCCATCATTTTCAAAGTAGTACACTTAACAAACATGGAAGATTAGGATTATTTTCCCCTTTTCTTTCTTCCTGTCGTAATTGGATTTGGGTTTTCACGTATTATCCATGGCAAACCTCTCAAGGTTGTATCCTGCGTGTAGTATTCTGAGAAATCATACAGTAGGAAGTGAAATAGTGAGAGGTGAGAAAGAGAAGTCGCTGATTAGCTAGAGAGACTGAAATGAGCAGTAGCTAAGAATTAGGAGCTACAGGTGATACAGAAAATACCTCATTGATTAAAAGAGAATTTGTGGTGTTGATTTGTCTATATCCACTTGTATTGATTGATTAGGAATACAGGGATAGGATATGAACTAAGAAAATGCGTTATTGTGAAGCATCTGGAAGATCCTGTGAACAGCACTGTGTAAAAATGAATAAATATTATTATTTACTTTTATTATCATCTATTTAAAAGTTTAAAAAAAGTTTTTTCCTGTAAAAGGGGGCATTTTACAATACTCTTTTTTTGGGGGACTTTTTAGTATTCAGATTCAAAGATTTAAGGTTTTAGTGTAAACATTCACTGTACCATAAAGCCCTGGGCAGCATTTTTAAACTTAAAGTAAGGGTTTTTTCATAGGCACAATTCTTGCTTGAATAATGGGGTAATGTCCCTATAGAGCTCAGATAATACTAAATAAGGGCTTTTGCACTAAGTGTGCGTTCATCGGAATAAACAGGAGAAGAGGGCGCCACTACATTGCCACACTGTCAAGAGAAACCCATTATTTCGGCAGATCCAATAATAAAAAGTCTCCTTAGGCCAAACCATTAGAACCATTAGTTATGAATGTGTCGGTGAGTTTAGTCTGAGCTCCAGCTGTGCTGCATACCAGCTGGCAGGAGCCTTCCTCTCCAATGACAGGCTTACCTTGACTCCCAAAGGATCCTCCATCTTAACCCTGAATTATGGGAAGTCCCTTTCTACTCCTTGTCTCCCAGCGTTTTAATTATTTTATTTTTTTTTGTGTGGTTGAAACGCAAACATGACGTGTTGCTAAGTCATCAAAGAAAAGCTAAGGTGCTGTGAAAGATTAAGGCAGTGGAAGAGTAGGCACTGTGGTCCAAAATGGCAATATGCATTCCTTTAAAATGAAAAGCAAAATTGCAGTTTGGAGATATGTCCCTGCAAAAAGAACTTGCAGAATTTCAAAAGAAGCTGTACTTAATGACTGAGGAAGTAGGGAGAGAGGGGGGCCTTACCTGCTACACTAGAGATTTAATTAGGGATTGGATTGTGGGATGCAGGAGAATTTCACAGTGGATTAGCCGCTGAGAGAACAGCCCTTCTCTTCCTCCTAGACTAAATTGTTTAAATTCTACACCCTTCACTTCATTTGTTTGCTTCTGCAGGGTTTTCATTAGTGAGGCCCCCTTTCTTTGTGTGCTTTTTGAGTCCCTCCAGCCCGTGGCTCCACATACCACCTTCTTGGGGTTTTTAGCTGTTTTCTTTTCTTAGTTCTAATCAGCAGTGTGTATTACCAAGTTCTTATAATTATGAATTAACCAACTAACTTTCTTCCCTCTTTTTGTGCTTTTAACCAACTAACGCTCTTGCTCTTTGGGGACATAGCCTTACAGAAGGTAAAACAACTTTGCTTTTTCTTCATACTAAAATACTGTGTTCAGCTTATGTGTTTATTTTTGGATTTGTAGTTTTTCTTTTAGTGTGCATCTGCGGGACTATTTCAGTTAAGTCATAAGTGGGTTTTTTTTCTGCAGGTACTTCTTCGCTGTGCTGGCAATCCTGACTGTGCTTGGAGTTCTGAATGGACTGGTGTTGCTTCCTGTTTTACTGTCATACTTTGGCCCGTATCCTGAGGTAAGTCCTTACGTCCGCTGAATCTATTATTATTAGTAGTCGTAGTCGTAGTATTTTTGTTATTGATGTTAATTCTGTGGCTTTGCTAAGTAGATTGAGTACATGGACCTTGGTAGTACTGGGAACATATTCATGCTTATTTACTTCCTTTAATGTACCAGATGGAAAATTTCCTTGGCAGGCAGGTGAAAGACATAACACAGCACATGATGGGTTCATGTTGTATTAAATGTATAAACAAATAAGAAGCGTGCATGTATAAGGAGGGGAGTAGGAAACGTGAGAGCATTGAGATGAGAATTTGTAAGGCACTGTATGTTGACAAGGGACGCTGTGAGATGCCCTGAGACCCAGGAATGAGCTGAGCTGGTCCCCCCTGCACTGAAGGGGCCGTCCCACAGCTACCTCACTTTCCGCCTCGGCGCTCCCTCCGCAGGTGTCTCCCGTCGACGGGAGGAGCCGCTTGCCGACCCCGTCCCCCGAGCCGCCCCCTCGCGTCGTGCGGTTCGCAGTCCACCCCCGGCCCCCGGCCAACGGCTCCGACTCCTCGGACTCGGAGTACAGCTCCCACACCACCGTCTCCGGGGTCAGCGAGGAGCTGCAGCAGTACGACTCCCGTCGCCACCCGGCTCACACCACCCGCCGGGTCCTGCTCGAAGCCACCGAGAACCCAGTCTTCCCGCGCTCCACCGTGAGTGTCTGAGATTAGTCCCTGCTTTCCCCTGTTGTTCATTCACTGTTTAATTAGAGCCCCTGGGTGACTATCGTAAGGGGATAGGAGGGCTGGGGTGGTGTATTAAAGGTAAGGGTATAGTCACAGCCTTGTTTTTCCCTTGAAGGCATCGGATAATTCGTCCCCAGTTGTCTGGAAATCGAACTGACCATGCGTCACACTGATATAGTACCTGATACAATGAGAAAAGATATGGAAAAACAGGTTTTAAGTAGATGATTGGATATTTGCGACAAACACATTAAGAGCTAGTAAGAAATTATTCCTTGGCCATTCCTTGAAGCTAGGCCTGCTTCAGTCTAAGGCCTCAACTAAAAGTAACACAATATCTTCGAGAGATAGTGCGGGTTTTTCCTCTAAAATCGTTGCAGGATTTTGAGAACAATTCGTGCAGCTATGCCTGGCACATAGTGAAAAGGAAATAAGACGGGCTGAACGCTGTGCAATCCGTTGTTATGTCCCGAATTTCGAGATGCGTGCTAAAGGGGGACTGTTCTCTCCGGCAGGCCGTACCTCTAGAAGCCAGGCAGCAGCGGCCCAGGCCCTGGCCCCGGCCTCCCGCCCAGCCGCAGGAGCACGCCCGGCGGTACAGCAGCAGGGACCCCAGAAGGGACTCGGCGAGGGACAGCCAGCAGCCGCCGCCGCCGCAGCAGCAAGCACCCCCTCACCGGCCGCGCATGGACGCTTTCGAAACTGCTACTGAAGGGCGTTCGGGCCCCGGTCGCAGGGACCGCTCAGGGCACCGCTCCCACCCCCACAGCACTAGACACCAAGCTTTCACCGCCGTGGGTCCCTCAGGGCCAGCGTACTGCCAGCCTATCACCACCGTGACTGCCTCGGCCTCCGTCACGGTCGCTGTGCATTCACTCCCCGGCCAGGGCCCACATTACCCAGCATTCCCCTCTCCAGAAGGCTCCCAGCAGGCGGATCCCGGACCCTTCGAAGACCCCCACGTGCCTTTTAACATTCACAGCGACAGGAGGGACTCTAAAATGGAGGTCATGGAGCTGCAGGATGTAGAATGTGAAACGCAGAGTGAGGTTGAGCAGGAGAGCTCTGCCAGCTAAGGTGAGTTTCCCTGGGTCTGAGTACCCGCTTGACAGAATGTTTCTCTTTTGGTAAAATCAGATTTGCTCAGTTCTGCTCTTTCTGTAACATCATTTTACATTTTGGGGTATTTTTTGTGGGATAAAAATATATTTAAAATTGAGAAGTATTAACATAGCCTTCTAAATCATCTTACATAGCAACAGTGATATTTAAACATAAGCAAGTTATGTATGTGTATTTTATGTGCAGATTTAAAGGCTTTTGGGTCTCTATACTTTGTTCTTTGTCATCTGAAATTTCAGATTTAGAAAGATCTTCAGTTTTAGTGAATGTTTAATATGAAAATGCTTTTCTTTTAAAGAATTAAGGTGCTTTATTTTGCTTTAATGAGATTTGTGTTTGGTTCCAGTGAGAGAGTTCTGAAGCACAAAAGGCCAAAGATGGGGAGTCCTTCTGTTCTGAACCTGCAGGAGAACTGCTTGAAGTTAGGGAAATCTACATACATGCTGCATCAGGAAGATGGTTCACTGTTACTGTAACCTAGTGTATTATTTTGTCAAATATATATATATAAATATTTAAAAGATGTAAACATGTGTATAATACAAATGTAAATTAGCTGTAATGTAGGAGACAAACAACTCCTGTTAATAGACTGGGGACAACACTCTGTGTAATCTATACTGTACACTCATCTGTGTATCTGTGCCACGAGTAAGCTTAATCTAGTCATACATTTCAGCATAAGTTGTTGCTGCTTAAATATTGTATAATTTACTTGTATAATTCTATGCAAATATTTCTTTTATGGTATAGTAATTTGTGAGATTGTGTAAGAGCAGTGGATGTGTGAGTGTGTATAAAGGTACGCATTTTGTTTTTAAATGTTAATTTTCATATCACAAACCTGTGGTAGTATGAAATGTTACTGTTTAACTTTCAAACACGCTATGCGTGATATTTAAAATGATCAGATATGAAGAAAAAAGCACGTTATTCTTTGTGAGTGGCTGAGACTCTTTTGCTTGTTTTTTCCTTTTTTCTCTGATACTGTATCTCGTATCTGGTGTTTTTTACTGTAAAACAGCCATTGGTGCACTCACATTCCAGTCAGAACTGTTACCCCTTCACTGCCAAACACAACAGAACCTAAAATGTGAAATGGCAATAGTCTGTTTTAATTACCTAAGAAATTCACTGTTAATATTTCAAATCTGCCATTCTTTAATTTGTTTCCACTTTATTGTTTATTAAAGAATGTTAACCAGTTTTTATTCCCAATGGGGAAAATAAAGACAGGATAAGTGTTAAAGAAGCAGAAGTTAGGTCATTGGCTTTTTAGATAATTAAAACAGACTTGCCTACAGAGGATCTTGTGAAAACTTTTTTTTTTTACTGATGCGTTAATGAAGATGCCAGTTACACAAGCTCTTAAAAGATCAAAGAGTAAACTGGAAATGCCTGCAATTTTTTTTTTGCCATATGCCATAAATGCAACTTCTCAAATTCTAAAGTAAAGCACTGTCGCAGTATCCATATAGGTATAAGCTACAACTAGATCTGATTTAACCTCGCACTTGAACTTGACTGCGGTAAAAACGCAGTATCTACAGTGGGAAAAATAGCGCTGGCCCTTTTTATTGTTTTTGTTATTCCTCTTATCCCGCTATTCCGTACTTCAGATAAGCTTCAATGACAAGTACACCAACGGTTAAGCACTGAATGGCCCTACTAAACCGGCACACTGTCTGATTCCCCAAAGTTTTAATGACAGCGAAGACAACTGGCCTCAATTTAGCTCTCGCAGTCGATTGACCTGAGATCATAAAAATCCACAACAAAACTGTATGACACTAATTGGAAGCTACCCTCAACTGCCAAGTGTACATGAGACTGTGTCAGAGGTCGGACAGGCCTCCTACTGCTGCTAGGTTGGTGTCTGTCTGTTAGTCACTCTCGCTTGCCTTTCCCCTCTTGTGTAAGTCTTTCTTTTGAACACCGCAGTACGTTGGCCTTTTTTCCCCTATTGTGTATTATGTACTGTCTGCTGCTTCTGCAAAACGTAGATGTTTTTCTCCTCAAGTCACATTGGCCAAAGGAGAAATCCACAGCTGGCAACTATTTTATCCTTTTTTTATTTTTTTTTTATTTTTTTACTTTTTTTGGTGATATTTATATTTTTGTATGATAAGATTTTTTTTTCTGACATTATTGTTCATATGCCAGTTTATAACAAAACAAATGCAGGGAATTTTATTTCTATTGAAAACACTATTACAGCTATGTTTTTACTTTAATGGATTGTTTATCTGTATAAAGTGCTTACTAATGTTAAATAGGAAAAAAGATTATATAACATTTACATTAAGGACTCAATGTAGCTCTTAGACTGAGGATGTAAAAGGAAAAATTCTGGGTCTCACTGACTGCCATTTTTTTGGTAGAAGTGGGTTTGTGTCATTTCAGTTACAAAGATAAATGTATGCCATATAATTTATTTATATGAAAATTTATTTTTGTAGTGTACATAGTAGTTGTCAAGTCTTTTGACAGAAGTATATTTTTAAAGAGTTTATATGTAATGATACCATTTTGTTGGAACATAACAGAGATTTTGTTACAGTGTACACTTTCAGTGCTAATTTGCTCTCAGACAAATGATGTCCATACAGTATTACAGGAGAGTGAAAAATTCAAAAAGCTGCAAAATGTTTGTGTTTTTGAACGTCTAGCCATGAAAGTAGTAATTGTACTAGCTCTCTAAATATTAATGTTCAAACACTGATAGAATTCTAACAAATAAAAATATTATAACTTATTTGTCTCATTTGTTTGTAACTCTAATAAAAAGAATCTAAAAGGAAGCTTTTCAGTTGAAGTTGGGTTTGTCAAGATATCGCCTCTTTTTTAACAGAAGAGATTCAGTCTCAGTAATTAAAACAACACATACCGTAGAGTCTTTTATTAACAAAGTTATGTTATTTAACCCATTCACATGCTAAAGTCTTATTTGTGATGTTTATATCACATGAAAAACAGTTAAAATAATCAGTGTTTTATGAAAGCTACCAGTACAACAGAGAAAGATTATAGGGGGATCCAGCATCTTGACAAGGTAAACAGGTTATTTTTGTCATGTTTTCCTCCTATTTTACACGATTCTGCACCTGGTGGTTTTGGTATATTAACAGTACAAGAGAGTTATTGTGCCCCGCCTCCAGTATTTAAAAGCACTTGCTCCAATATTTACGCAAGGGCCTGGCAAGGAACGCATAACCATTGCCAGCATGTGAATGAAAGTTTAGTCAGTTCATAGAAAAAGCATCCCTGTAAGAAAAACATCAACCATCCCACAGATTTTAATTTTCAAATTTGTAGTTTCCTTTGAAGAAAGAAATTTTCTCACTTGGTTCTTCACTTTGTGGCCATTGTCTTTACTGTTTCCATAGAAACAGCAGCTTTGGTCTTGCCACTCTTGTTTTACCCAGTGCTGCCTGCTGTATGTCAGAGGACGTCTGTCAGGAAGTCATTGGATATGACCAAATTGCTCCAACAGTATGTGGAGATCTTAAATCATCAAATTTGGGGTTTTAAAACCCCAAAAAACTCATTACTCAAAACTCAAACTCATTTTTTTTAAAAAACTCATGCTCTCACCTGGATCTCATAATTTGTTCATCAGTGAATGGACTGTAACCAGTTTTCAAATAAGTATTTTAGAAGCGAAACAGCAAAACTAACATGGTCATTTAAATTTTCAGAATGCTTTTGATAAAATTCCTTTAAAAAATTAATTCTCAAATTGCAAGAATTAGGCATTCAGAGAAAGAGAGTAGGTAGCTACATCAGCATGCATAGGCTTTAAAGGCACAGGTAAAGGTTTATTCCATGTTGAAAGAAAAAGAACAGAGACAACATTTTGGTTGTGGATCTGTTAACATACTGTAAACACCTAAGCCCTTTTCAAAAGTAGTGCCTTCAAACTTGTTTTCTCTATCCTATAATTATGTGTTATTATGTCATCACCAATTCCTGGTACTCCTGAACACCACAGGTACTTTCTCTCATTCTCTGAGGGTACAAGGCATCTGTCTATACTTGCCCCATGCTCTTTGTTGTCAGCTCTGGCCCCTGGTTGATATGGCAGTGGGTCCCCATCCCTCTGATCTTAAATCTTCTTGCGTCCAACTGATGCAGTGTCAGCCCTCATCTCTTCCCTCCCCCTATCCTCACAATTTTCCTTCAGCAGCCTCACAAGTTCTCTGGACTCTTGTTTGTCAATAGGTTCATCTCTTCAGGTGTTATCTGTTCTTATTTTGTGGGTTCCAAGTGGAATCCGTACTCATCATTTCAGTAGTACACAATAATATTATAATAGTACAATTGGTTACTCACTACCGGTGCAGATAACCTCGTCTCTAGTCAATATAGCAATCTGATCTCTAACAATTTTGACTCCACTGCCACCTGTTTTCTGACTTGCTTTTCAACGTTTGCATCATACATGATTCTCATTCACTCCACACTATGGCACACATGTTCCAATCTGTGATTCTCTGAATCCTCGCATGTCTAAATTGACTTGATCAAACAAAACTCCTGTACCACTAGCTGCACAACCTTATGGCCAGTGCTGTCATTACATTAACCAGACAAATTAGTGCCACACATTAAAATACTAAGTACACTCCCTTTATGTTCATAGTCTTATCACATTCATTAGAATCAGACCGAACTAATGAAATGAAGTCATGAAAAAAAAAGTGTGGAAAAAGAATCAAATGGTAATCTCACTCTTCAGCTCTCTTGCATATAAATATTCGCCTGCTGAGCCCCCCCTTCTGTGAAAAATTTCCAGCATACCACTCTACACCTCATCTTCACCCTTGCAGCGGCCTCCATATTTTATTTCTTGCAGCTGAGGAGGGTTTTGTCATAACCTCACCAAGACAAGTTAAAGCCAAACAATATAATCCTTTTATATTTGTCATCTCATTGCATTATTTAGAATTTGGTTGAACTGCTGAAACATGTGCTTGTTACTTGTACAGTATGTAATATCCTGCAGTTTTCTATGAAGAGCTGACCGAACATTGCACTACTCTCGACGATACCATTACAGAAATTAATGCATTGCTTTTCCTTATCTTCTGTTTACAATGGAAGCCTGTTTCCGCCAGGGAGTAATAAAAACACGCTGTGGTATCTCGTAATTGCATCTTAAAATCTCTGAATTCTGACTTTATATCTCATAATATAAATAGAATAATAACAGAATAAATATATATAGCTCAGCTGGCAAGACCTGGGTTCGAGCCAATGCAGTGAGGCACGAACTAGGGTGGGAGTGGCAAGGGCCACAAGCCCTAGAACCCGAATCCGTTACAGACTCCATATACAGGTGTTGGCCATGAATTGTAGAGTGTACTGTTCTTTTTTATAGGAGATGACTTTCTTTGTTTCCACCATAGCTCAGAGAATAATTAATACATATTAAACTGTAGAGCCACAGAACTTATTCTAAAACTCTTTCTGTATGGATTTCACTTGCCTGCACAGGGTGGGTGGAAGATACATTTCTAATTGTTCGACAACGTTACTCTTGTTAATCAAGTATATTTAAATTATTATATATTTAAATTATTTACAACATTTTGCAATGAAGTTTAGAAATGCAAATAAGTGGACATAATTTGCTAATTAAGCATTTGAAAAAAGTTTTAGATTAAAAAAAATCCCATTCTTTGCTGACTTTGTTATGAGCAAAGCATTTCCTGTCATGATGCCAATATAATTTAATTCAATTATTTGGATAATAATATAATCCCTAAAAGTATCTGGACATGTAACATAAGCAGTTAAATGCCTGTTTTTTTTCAATATTCAAATTCCACTTCAGAAAAGTATTTGCAGGGTATTGTAAAACCAAGTGAACCGAGACAGGCAAAGTTCACAAAAAGAGTAGAAGACAAGTACACAAGACATCAAACTAATTTGCAATGAATCAACATGTGTAATAAATACTGTAGCAAAGACAGCTGTTTGAACTAGTATTCAAGGCTCTGGGATCACAAAGCAAATTCTGGAATGGGGAATGTATGTTCTGGAATACATTTACTAGAACTCCTGGGTGGAACATTGCTGTTTTGTAGTTTGTATCAGTGAGTACAAAGTACTTCAAACAGATAGGATCTGTAAAATATCCAGGTGTATACATCGATACCCTTGTACATTGCATTGGGTTAGTGTCAGTCCAACACATTCATTCTAATGACTAGTGAAAGATCGTGAAAACTTCTTTCCTTTTCCTTTGTCAATCTGTGTTCTTACTTAATTTTTTTATGCCACTGTAAAAGACTTATTATATCCAGAATCACTTTGCTGGAGATCTAATTGTCTGATTTGTTTTGTTTCACTTCATTAAGGTTTTCAATTCAGAAGTAATAAACAGTATATAGTTACTGGAGTACACTCTGGTTCTCGATAATAAAATAGACTGACATTGAAGAAACTTTACTTATTACAAAAGCAGGCTGCAAATAACCAGGTTTTAATAAACACATTCATAATTTTACATGAATAAGCTCTCAATTCCGGCATATCTGATGTTAATGGTTTGGTTACAAAGTTACTGTAGGTATCACTGTGACCAAACTGAAAATTGAAGATAAGATGTGTAAATAAATCCTAAAAAGCATTGTTTTAATTGTCACCCTAGGAATTTACTCTAAAACAAAGTCTGTATCACTCCATGATTTCATACAATTATTTTTTTTCCTTATTCACATTTTTAAAATTGTGTCCATCATCACTTGTCTGTAATGTTAAACTTGCCAAGTGCACTTATCCTCTGAAAGAGTGATTGCTCTGTTGACATAAAAGTAATGGATTATATTTCTGCTGCCAACAACTGTATGATTTAGTGATCTTTCATTAGAAGTCAAAAATAAATCTGCAAAAAACATTAAGACAGAAGTGTTTTGCAATTTTGTGTTTAAGAAAGGGAAAACAAAACAAGAATGATAGATATTCAGCATTGAAGTATAAACCTTGAAAAATACTTAATACAAAGCTTAATGCACCTATAGAGGAGTACCTTAAAATCTATTGGTAATTTAAAAAGATAAACATTTTAAAATGACAACTTCACTTTATTACAAAGGTGAATGGAAAAGGTCAGTTACACGTTAGTTC